AAAATCTAACCTATATGCCCAGTACGCTTGAAATCCTACATCATAGACTAGACTCTTCCCCAAGTGATCACGGATAACATGGGTACCAGGTAATGTCTTGGGGTGTAAAGGTGGCCAACGTGGTATTGAGAACATCACCCATTAATTGCCGACTGGTTTATCAAATACAAATCTATCATTGTATGTCCGATGAACTAAAGACGCGAAAGGAAAACGTTGACTAAACTTAGTCGAAGGAGGGGAATGTGTCGTGTATTGGGATGTTAGCCCCTCTCTTCCTTCTCCTTCCTTTTTTATCTATCCGTCAACACGCGCATATATATATATATATATATATATATATATATATATATATATATATATATATATATATATAGGCGAAGACACACTCACATACTCACGTTGCCCTATTTCACATATTATCTCTGACAATCGTATTACATATCCATGATATGGCAGAGTTCATTATGGTATGGTCTCTGTATGACATTTTAGCAATCTTTCAAAAAGATATGGGTCTTGCCAGGGCCGTCTTAACAGTAGTATAGGCCCCTGTGCAAACCAATGTGCGAGAGCTCCCACGACAACCATCCAAATGAATTACCTTAAATGGTCGATAATATTCAATAAATTTTTTTTATTGGCACTTCAATAAACCTGGTGCTGGGGGTATAATTTCTGTTTTATATTACATAAAATAAATGTAAACATCAAATATATTTAGTATAAATGCAATGCCTTTCGTTTGTACATTGGTTGAGCTGTGATATTCAATATGGCCGGTAGCTGGTTTTCGCGTAGGCTGGTGAAATACCTTACGTAATAATTCTACGTGTGTATAACCAACTTATCGTGCCCGACTACTTCCATCAACAACAAACTGCAATTTTGGTGGCGACTATTGGCTTTGGCATTTCATTTGATTTTCACTGGTATAGGAACGGGGCAAGTACGGGGTGACCCGATTGCAGTGAAATTAAAACCTCGACTAAGACTGTAAGTCAATAATTACTTGCAGTCGAAAGAATTAGCACTGATTGTCCTTGATGTAGCAAGTAGAAGCAACATATTAGAGGGTGGTAAGGCTGGATTTCCCAGCTTTCTGATGCTATTAAAGCCCAAAAACATCTAGAACTGGCCCTAACCCCAACCCACCTACTCCCCAAAAGAGAGTGCGGCCTAGGTCCCACTACTGCATACAGCATTTGTCTCACGACTGCATGCAGGCTACCTATCACCCCCTGAAATATTAGACTGCCTCGTGACGTGTGGATATTCCCTGACTGGGGTAGGATATTAAGAAAGCACCGAAAAAACGCCTGATTGTCTCGTTTCTAATTATGTGGCTATTCTGATACTGCTGGCGATTGCGGCTGGCTATTCTGATACTGCTGGCGATTGCGGCTGGCTATTCTGATACTGCTGGTGATTGCGGCTGGCTATTCTGATACTGCTGGCGATTGCGGCTGGCTATTCTGATACTGCTGGCGATTGCGGCTGGCTATTCTGATACTGCTGGCGATTGCCGCTGGCTATTCTGATACTGCTGGCGATTGCGGCTGGCTATTCTGATACTGCTGGTGATTGCGGCTGAGTTACCATATACTGCTAGATTATAGATAACGTATTCTTGTTAGCCATAAGAATAACTGTTATAAATGGTCGTAGCCCCGTTTGTGAGTCGCCGATTGTTCCAATATCTGCCTCTCCCATTGTATGTATGTATGTATGTATGTAAGTTGTACCCCACCAGGACATCACACAAGCGATAAACACCAGGTGACACAAAGTACCACCATGCAAATGAGAATCACCCGTGGAGAGGTAAAAGAAACCCTGTTCAGCCGTTAATCATATTTCAGGTCCTCTATGTTTAGGGCCCCTGGCAAAAGCCAGGGTGGGGCTTTGAAATAACGAAAAATTGCATCCCATATGGGGATGACCAGCCTCAGCATTGTTAATAAATTTATATGAAGTAACTTTTTTTTTTAAACGCTTTGAGTACCTCATTATTTTTATCTTGTTTATTGATTGGTTCATACGCGGTATTATTATTCGTTATATTCAATAGATGCATTTTTTTAAACCAGGAAGACACAGCGATGTTTGATGTTTTAACAACGGATCAACATCATGGCACCTATGCAGTAACCCATAAGTACTCCGTTCTACTTCTAACTCAAGCCTGAGTCCACAGAAATCAGCGCAGTGAATGAACTCCGTAGCACCAGCTAGGATCCTGAAATACTTTGAGTAGATTTTTAACTCTAAATTTTGCTCGGGCAGCGCTGTTAGGCTACTATTTTCGATTTCCAACTGCCAATGGATTTTTTTGACGTGCGTAACACTACTCGCGGGCGTCTGATCTTATTACGCAGAGACCAGGGGAAATTTTTAGAAGTCCACATGAAAACATGCCGGCTTTAAAGAATGTGACCCTAAAGTTAGCGAGCATTACAGTTGAAAGCGTTGAATTAAGAACTGCCTGTAACTAAAATATTCTGTCTGCCTGCCTGTCTATCCGTCTCTTGGTCTGAATATATATCCGTCTGTCAGCTCGCCCATCCTTCTGTTTGTCTAGCTATCTGTCTGTCTGAGTCCTGTTCTTCCGTCTCACTGTCAACTGTGCATACACTAATACTTTTAACGACCCCAAAACATTAGGAACTGGCCCTAACCTCAACCCACCTACGTCCCATGAGAGAGTGCAGCCTAGCTCCCACGACGGCATGCAGCCTGTTTACCACCCCCTGAAATATTAGACTGTCCCGTGATCGGTGGATTTTCCCTGTTTGGGGTAGGATATTAATAAAGCACCCTAAAGTCTATCTGTCCCAGTGCGAGTGTGGTAGGCAAACGTAAACATAGTTTTTTTTTAAAGACAATTTAACACGAAATTGACGTATGAGACATCATATTGTACTAGGCAGTCTGTTTACGTCACTTGAACATCCAGTCTGTTCACGTACCGGGAACATCCAGTGTGTTCAAGTCACGAGAACATCCAGGCTGTTCGTGTCACAGTAACATCCAGTCTGTTCACGTCACTGGAATATCCTGTCTGTCCACGTCACTGGTACATCCGGTCTGTTTACGTCACTGGAACATCCAGTCTGTTTACGTCACTGGAACATCCTGTCTGTTTACATTACTGGAACATCCAGTCTGTTTACATCACTGGAACATCCTGTCTGTTTACGTCACTGGAACATCCTGTCTGTTTACGTCACTAAAACATCCAGTCTGTTTATGTCACTGGAACATCCTGTTTACGTCACTGGAACACACAGTCTGTTCACGTCACTGGAACATCCAGTCTGTTCCCGTCACTGGAACATCCAGTCTGTTCCCGTCGCTGGAACATTCAGTCTGTTCCCGTCAGTAGAACATCCAGTCTGTTCAAGTCACGGGAACATCCAGTCTGTTCACGTCACGGGAACATCGCGAATGTGTTACTATACTCACACTTGTGGGGGAACTGATCAGTACTTGACCGATGATATGTCCAGCATCCTGCCGGTCGCATTTACCTCCCAAGACATTTGCTGATTCCCAGTCGATCTGGGAACCAAACAAAATATAAGTACACTGCTTTTAATTAGTTTTTTAAATAGCTAAGCGCGCACAGCCCCCCCCCCCCCCCACTCCCCTTCTTTTTGCCCCTTGAACTAGGTAAAGAGGTTCTTCTATCCCATCCGCTGCTTTGCTAAAAAAAATCGTCACATTCAACAAGCATTCACGAAGGGGGAGCTTGAGGTTAAAATTGTGGCTCTGTTGTTTGCGCAGATAAAATAGCTTAGTACTGCACGCCATGAAAAGGACTTCGGCAGTGATGATGAGATCAAAGGAGACAGACCCAATTACTGTCCCAACCGATGACGAAGTCGTCTACCGGCCAGCCAATAGATGACTCGGTCGCGATAAAGCCATTTTTTAACGTTATTTGCGTATACCAGTGTTTCCCAAACTTTTCTTGGTGGCGGCACTTTTTTTATTTTTAAATTTTTCAACGGCGCCCTAACCTAAGTAAAAGTACGACTGTTCGTGTCTTGGGTAAATTAATTATGAAGCATTTACAATATTTCACGTCCCCACTGTAAAGAGGTCGCTGCTCTCGAGGCGCAACGGCGCAGAGTTAGATAGTAATAGATTTTTACCCCACCAAGACATCACACAAGCGATAAACACCCGAAGACACAAAGTGCCACCATGTGGATGAGGATCACCGTGGAGAGGTCCCAGAAACCCCATTCAGCCATTAGACCATACAACAATGTTGTAACGCTGAATTTAGAAAATAAATGTGTAGTCTCCCGTGTTGTTAAAAACGTAGCCACAAACGTGGTTCCAGCAGATAAGGATGCGCACTAACAAACTGGTAATAAATGTATATCAGTAGGTACATACACATTGCCACACAACTGCACGAAAAATTCCCTCTCTCTCTCTTTCTCTCTCTCTCTCTCTCTCTCTCTCTCTCTCTCTCTCTCTCTCTCTCTCTCTCTCTCTCTCTCTCTCTCTCTCTCTTTCACTATCTATCTCACCCAAAGAACGTATATTTTCATCTGTATACATTAAAGTACTCAGTATTTTCTTTTTTTGTCTGTTACATGGGGATCCCGCCTTACGTCATATCCCCATTGGCACTTGCCAAGGGGACAGTATAGGGGCCACATGCTAATCTGTGCTGTTAAGTAACTTGTTATAAATAACAATTTCTTTCCTGTGAGTTATTGTCATAGAACCACACCCGTAATGCTGTTGTGTGAGTAGTTGTCATAGAACCACAGCACACCCATAATGCTGTTGTGTGAGTAGTTCTCCTAGAACCACAGCACACACATAATGCTGTTAAGATGGTACATGGTGTACTAAGTTTCAACTTGTAAAGATGTTACTTTGTTCTATTGCAGAGTGACACCAGCCTGTTTAATCTGCGAGTTGTGTACCATATGAAGTGATAAACCATTGAGGAGGTTAAACACATTCACAGTTAGCATATGCCAGTTTCTAACACCCACCAAGTCATCAACATGGCGAAACATTTCTCGCCTCGGCCAGTATTTTTAAGTAAGTAAAGAACAACATATTTTAATATTAATTGTTTCATCTGTACAGTTTAATCTAATTTTGATCCTTTTGCCTTGTGCTACTCTTCGGTTTTTCCTCTCCGGACTGCTTCCTGACAACATCCATCATGTACAAAGGAATTTGTTGCTGAGTGCCCTTATCCAAGAAAAATAGACGTGCGGTCTAACCATAATAAAAGATAAAACATAAAATTGTCATCTTATGTTTGGTTTGTAATTCCATCCTGCTCACCCTTTTAAACTTACCATGTCAGTTAAAGTTAACATCATTAAAACTAATAAGCCACTACTTGCTTTCTTTAGTATTTAAACAGTAGTTAATGTGTTTTACTATTTACTGATTTAGTAGAACCAGTAACTTAAACAACGATGTCCTGTTCAACCCATCTGGTTATAAATGGGATATATATATATTTTTTTAATATCTGTCAGTTTAGTATATTTATGCTTGTCAGTTACTTTTGGTTATTTACTATTATATATATATATTATGTGTTATGTGTGACATTGTAGGAGTATAGATTTTACTGACTGTAAGACATCACAGACTATAAGATGCAGCTAAACTATTAAGTTCTGGACTTCAATGATGATATTTCTCTTCTGTCTCACTCACAGAATCAAATAGAAAGTAAACTAAATATATTTGTTCAAGATCACAACAGCTAGGACTGAGAATCCATAAGGGAAAGATAATGAGAATAAATCAGGCAAATGGTAATGTGGTTTCTCTTAATGGTATCCCACTGCAAGATGTGGAGTCGTAAACCTTTTTGGGCAGTAATATAGACAGAGATATTAGTGGGGGGGGGTGTACTGATAAAGATATTAACATGCAAATACAAAACTACATAAGGCAAGAGAATCTTTCAAAGCTCTAGGAAATTTGTGGAGGTCAAAAGAAACTAGAACTAATACTAAACTTAGAATTGTTAATTCTATTGTCAAATTAGTACTGTTGTATGGAGTAGAAACATAGAGAACACAGAGAGAGCAGTTACTAATTAACTACAAACATTCATTAAGTAGTGCCTGCGCTGAACAGAGGGAACTAAATGGTATAATCACTAAATTAGAGCTTTAGGAGAGAACTTAGCAAACTCCGGTGAACCAAGAGGTGAAGAAAAGATGCTGGCGGTGAATAGGACACATGCTGAGAAAACATAAGAACAGTATAACTAGAATGTCTTTGCAGTGGAACCCAGAGGGGCATAGAAATAAAGAAAGACCCAAAAAAACACATGGACACGGGAGCTAGAGAGTGAAAAAATGGGAAGGAAACCGGGAGAGCTGCATGTGATAGCAAAGGATAGAATGACTTGGCATGACTTGGTTGAGGGCCTATGCTCCATTGGGGACTAGAAGGACAGAAGAAGAAACTATTAGGAAAAAATATCAAACATCAATCACTGGTTTAAAAAGTCAAATTTGTAAATATAAAAATTTACCAACAGTTTATGAAACCGAACTTACCAGTTGAGTCCTCTGTTACCAGACATATTTTATAACCATTGGGACAATAGCATCTTTTTTTAATACTAGCACAGAAAAATTGACGTTTTAATTCAGTCAGAAATTTGTTATCAGTTTCTACTATAAGATGCATCTGAGTTTTGAGTTTTGGACGTCTTATCTTGAAGAAAAACAGTCTGTCTAAGCATAAAAATGTGTATTTTTTCCAATTATTTTAAAAAATATATATATACAAAAAAATGTCATTCTCCTCAGTAACATTTCGCGTCACAAGCAGATTCCTAACCTTAGCCTATGATATTCACTAGTGAGAAACCTTACTGTTCAGATAGCCAGATGTCAAGGAAAGATATAAAACAAAACAAATCAGTACAAAATGTGGATGTTGTGGCTATAGCCTTTGCCAACACATACATAAAAAGATTTAAAAAAAAGTAAAGATCCCTTTTCACCCCCTTAGGCGTATCGGGTATATGAGAAGAGCGCCCATATCATTGCAGATCATCGGCACTAAGTGGGTAATATGGTCAGCATTACGCCGGCCGTCTTTACTTCCCCAGGATACCCATCCTGATACCCATTTTAGGCTGGGTCGACCTGCGACGGCCCATACCATGATATAATTCCACGCAACTAACGGTGGGTTTCGATCACGGTACGTTGGAATTACGAGTCGGACTCGCAACGCCTAAGCCACGGACTCCGCTCAACACATTCATAAATCAAACAAATCAACGAATACACAAAATCACTTACTTCATGTATCCAGATGAAGCTACATAGATGTTTTGCCAGTGCAATGAAAAGAACACATTGAACCAGAGAATAAATAGCCATGGAATGCCAAAGGCTGTAACTCGATAATTTTAGATGAAACTGTTGACAGTTCAGTCATCTGGGTGTTGAAGTCCCTAAAGTGTAAATAAAGAGATTTTTAAGAGACTTGCGGACTCAGTCGCTGGAGTGGCTAGATTTAATGGCAATCACCTCCATGTCGTGGACATTGTGGTGATCCTGAGAATTTAAGTGCATTGATAGTGGTTTCAGGGCACCATTATGCACATCTAAAAGATGTTGTCTGAACCTGTCAGCAAGCCGTAGACCCGTTTCACCGATGTATTTCATACCACATCTCTTACAGTTGATGGTGTAAATGACATTGCGGCTCATGCAATATAATGCTTCACTTGTGTGGAAAGTGGCATTTGGGAATTCCAGACAGGTCCCCTGGATCACATATGGACATATCCTTCATACAGGTCTGTTGCAAGAGACTGTGCTGAAGTGGGACTCAAAAGCAGGACGTTAGATGAGCTAGATGAGATTTAGTCATTCAAATTTACATCTTTGTCCATTGTTTAATAATTTTGTTCAATACCATGTTTTCCTGTTGGAATTTACATAATGCGGACACACAAACAATACATTGCACAATTTATTTCCTGGCATATTTTGCTGTATTTCATCAGGGGCATTACTGCAGAGCTAAATAAATATATAAGGAAGCAAAAAATGAATCCTTTTCTTGCTGATATGTATAAATAAATTTTTTTATATTTATAATCTTCATTATCCTCAGTAACATTCCTCATCGCAAGCTTCCTCCTCACCTCAGCCCGTGATATTCATCCCCGAGAAATCTCATTGGTCAGAGAGCCAGATGAAAATTACTACATTCTCAAGAAATCGACAGCAGTCATTGTTTGTCAAGCCAAAAATGCGGCTGATATAGTCTTCAACTGTTCGGGAACACAGATCCCGCCCACCTCTGTAGAAGTCAAGGATGTTTCTGATATTGATCCCGAGCTGATTCAGGCTGAGATCGAAGTCACCAGGGCTGACTTACAGAATCATGAAGGGCAGTCTCCTTTCTGGTGTGAGTGCAGTGCACTTGATATTGGTGGCCAGGTGGCTGTTACCAGTAGAAGAGCTAGAATTTCAATTGCACGTAAGTATATTTGATACAATATTTGGGTTGTATTTATTATCAGCGCCTATAAATAATAACATAACCCTTGACCCATTAGAAGAAAAAAAGATTTTGTAAAAATCTAGTGCACATAGGCACACTGTTTTTAGATGCTATATTTTGGGAAAATAAGTATGTTTAATAGTTGGGTAAATACTGTATGTGGGGTTGTATCAGTGTATATCTAGTGCAGGGGAGCGTGTTTATATCTACTATGCATTGGCCACAATCAAATTTTATGAAATATAGTACTGTATGTGTCTATTATAATCTATGTTGGGCATCTTGCTAGCATCAGTACACCAATAACTAACACAAGTACTACGTCTTTGAAAAACTGACAGAAGGGCAAGAGAAAAAAGAAAAAAATTTGATCGATGACAGTAAAGACTGTGCATTTACACATGGAATGACTAAAGCAACATACGGATGTGAGTCATGGACTATCTTCCAGTCCATGTTAGAAAATAGGGGCAAACAACACGAAGATTGGCACAGGATATAAGTGACTCCTTGAAGGTGAAACTGCACGAAGCAGGAGAGCTGGTGAGAGAGTTTCTTTCAGGCAGACCATAAAAAAAGACATTCTGCAAAAGATCTGTTACATGACTGACAATAATCAGAACCAGAAACTGAGGGCTTAAATTTAATGTCCTTAATAATATCCTACGAAAGATGATGTCACAGGACAGTCCAACATTTTAGAGGGTGGTAAGACTGGGTTTCCCAGCTTTCTGATGCTTTTAACAACCCCAAAACATCTAGAACTGGCCCTAACCCCAACCCACCTACATCCCACGAGAGAGTGCAGCTTAGGTCCCACGACTGCATGCAGCCTATCTACCACCCCCTGAAATATTAGACTGTCCTGTGACCTGTGGATTAGCCCTGTTTGAGGTTTAATATTAAAAAGCACCAAACTCAATGTTTGACTTAGATGGACATTCAAATGATGTGCATTTTTTTCCCTAAGATAATGTTTATCTTTTATAGACATAAAAGGTCTTTTTGGTTTGTCTGAATTAATTTTTTTTTAGTTCACTTAAGTGACTTTATATTACATTTTTTATATCATGCTTTCCAGATCTGAAAAACAAATTTGAGGTCCAGCCAAAGTCTGCAGTAACCACTGTGGGAGATGAAGTCATATTTGAATGTGAAGCACCAGAAGGTCAACCCAAGCCAGAGGTATGACAGAGTAACCGGAATGCAATGTTTGTTAGCTCAGTCTGCTGTTCCTACCTGCATATGACATGAGGGCATTATTTGCTGCAGCTAACTGTAACTTTGCAGCAGGAGGTTAAACAGGGAATCTGGGATTTGTACTGTTGGATTGACATCCAAGATAAAGTTTGTTGGGTTTCACTGGTGTCAAAACATTTGGGTAGTCAAGAGGGGAAATGATTAGTCAGTTATCTTCAGTTATCATCAAAGTTATATTTGAAAGGATTACTTCAGTGTACTGGGTTATCCCATATGGTTTAGTAACTCAGAAGGATGGCTAGTTGCCTGCTGAAAATGTCCCAAAATGCACAAACTCCATTACTTCAGTGACAATCCACAGAAATCTACATGAAAACTCAGTCATAAACTGAACCTTGTATCATTGAAATGAGAACATAACCTTCAGAGCATGAAGTAAATAAACATTCAGAGTTTTCAGTAACAAATAGACCCTTCAAGTTATCAGTAACAGACACACAAAGTTGTCAGAAACAGATAAACACTAAGAGTTGTCAGTAACAGAAAAACACTCAAAGTTATCAGTAACAAACACACACAGTTGTCAATGCACATCATACTTGGCTGCACCAGAGACACATCACGTAGAGCAATGAGATACCTACTAGATATTCCAGATATAAACAGCAGGCTTGAAATGCACCAAGCATGTGCCTACCTTAAAATCATGGAGGTCTTTACACATCCACTACACGATGAACTGAATACATGTAAAAGTAACAGACTTAAATGAGGCCAGTCTTGGTTGGGTGATTTCCTTCCAAGACATCAACCATGGAGAGGAATGGATATCCATACCAGACTAATACAAGCTGTACTTTGTGGTGGTTATCACTCTGACAAGACAGTGCTGTGAGTTGGCACCTCCATTAGTTGATGCAGAAGTGAAAGCATTGGTGGAGGAACACACACCAGCTGAAGATGCTGTTATCTATATATGTATACAGATGGTTCTGTGATTCGTCAGAAGTGATGTTCATGGGCTTTCATGGCAAGAACTAAAGAAAAAGTCATCAAAAAAGACAGTGGAACCTTTGCTTCTACCACCAGCAGCAAGATAATGGAGGTCATGGCTGTGACAAAGGCCTAGAATGGCTGCAAACTCAGGAATTCATCAGTGCAAGCTTTCTCAGTGACTCACGGAGCATGCTACAGAAGATCAAGGCAGGGTACACATGGAAGCAGTGGCTCCATTTTACTGAGCACTGGGGAGGAGATCGGAACACTTATGGTCATGTCTGATGTGCGATGAAGATGATCTTTTAAATAACGAACAATGTACAGTTGTCAGAAACAGATAGACACTCAAAGTTGTCAGTAACAGATAGACACTCAAAGTTGTCAGAAACAGATAGACACTCAAAGTTGTCAGTAACAGATAGACACTCAAAGTTGTCAGTAACAGATAGACACTCAAAGTTGTAAGTAACAGATAGACACTCAAAGTTGTCAGTAACAGATAGACACTCAAAGTTGTCAGTAACAGATAGACACTCAAAGTTGTCAGAAACAGATAGACACTTAAAGTTGTCAGTAACAGATAGACACTTAAAGTTTTCAGTAACAGATAAACACACAAAGTTGTCAGTAACAGATAGACACTCAAAGTTGTCAGTAACAGATAGACACCCAAAGTTGTCAGTAACAGATAGACACTCAAAGTTGTCAGTAACAGATAGACACTCAAATTTGTAAGTAACTGATGTACAAGATTGAGTTAAAGCAGGCTGCTAGATACTAAAACACCTTTGTGTACTATGAAGGTATCATGCAATGATATCAAAACAGAAGAAAGGCAGAAGAAGTTGGCTTCACATTGTCACAGTCAGAAAATGACAAGTGAAGGTTGCCGCTAAAAAACCTTTATTAGCAAAATACATGAATAGACAGCGTTAAAACCTCAAGGAATCTCCCACTGTCCATCCCTCCCTCTTCCCGCCTCATGCACTTTCTTTCCACTGTGTCTCCTATGTCCTGTGCCTGCCTTCATGATAGTTGGCTCTCTCTTTCCCATTACCATGCCCTCCATTACTATTCCATTGTGATGTTTGATATGGCCAAAGTGCTTCCATTTCTGAGACAGGATGCTATTTGCAAACAAGTTTTCCTTATTTTCAGACTTTTTTGAATGTCATTATTTCTGTCTTACTTAGCCCATGGTATTCTGAGAATCTTTTCTATAACATTTCAGCTCAAAAGCCATGACTTCCTCTTTAGTGTTTGTGAAATAGTATTCTGACAATGACAATGGTTATTTTATTATTGCAGTAGTAGCACCATGGTAATCACAGTATATATGTCTAAAGTATTATGTATATTATGTAATCTTACCAGGAAGTTAACCCAGTCAACAAATATACAATCAAGTCAGAAATGTCGGCCAAAAGACACAAATATCATGGCTTTACATTAAACAGGCACAACGCAGTTATATCACTCAAACAAAAAGAAGATGATGTTATATTAATATATTCAGTCACCTTCAGCAGGATTTCACTGTTATTATTATCTATTATTATCTTCAAGGGTCTACAATTGACTTCAAATTGTAACTAATACAATTCTACTTTGCGTCATCTGTGGCTTAGGTGTTGCGAGTCCGACTCGTAATTCCATTATACCACAATAAAAAGCTACTGCTGGCTGTGTGGATTTTTATCATAGTAGGTCAACCCAGCCTAAAATGGGTACAAGGATGTGTGTCCTGGGAAAGTAAAGACAGCCGGCGTAATGCTGACCACATTACCCACCTAGTGCCGGTTGTTCTGTAAAAATATGGATTCTCTTCCCATATGCCCGATGCGCCTAAAGGCATGAAAAGAGATCTTTAATTACAATTCCACTTTGATTAATTTGTTTTCTTCTAGGCAATTGTTAGTGACTCTGATTACGTGAGACTGATTTGTCTTAAGTATGATTAAGAACTGATATCACAGCTCTTGGGGCATTTCCACAAATGACCTGTCCCCAGTTTCAGCATGCAGAGCAGTTTTCCAATTCTGATTGTGTCAACTATAGATTGTATGTCTGTTTTGTCTTTCCTCTGAGTGTTATGTGTTGGCCAGGTCCCCTGGTCATTGCCTGGTGCAGTTTTCTTGAGACCATCATAAACTGTTTGTGCTTTCACACTGTTCACTCACTCCCAGTTCTTTGCCTTGATAAAATCTAATTTGCGATTTGTGGGCCAAGGTCTGAGAAGCGGCTGCCTGAATGGTTAGAACCTTAGCCTCTCAAGCTGGAGCCCTGGGTTCAAATCCTTGGTAAGGCTGGGGATTTTTTTTTTGTCAGGGGCAAAATAAAATTCTCACCTGCACAGTCGTGGTGACAGCACTAGCCATGCGGCCATAAATCCACAGATTCAAACCCCCCCCCCCCCGCCTGCACCCCAAAAGTGTTATAATAAAGGCAGTAATTGGCAGTTCGGGTCAAGGTCTATCCACCATTAATTTTAGAAAGCACACCCTGGCTGCTTCTATCCCCTCCCTAATTTATTATGTCCCATTTCACTAAATTTCTTACGACACATTTCGTTTTTAAATCATTTGCATGAATATCTGCAAGATAATTTTCTCATATGCTCACTTTTAACATTGCCATATTTATTCACGCAGATCATGTGGAGAAAAGATAAGAAAAGACTTGAATTTGAGAATAATCCTCGTTTTTCTGTGACTGAAAAAGGAAGTTTGATAATTCAGTCAGTGATGACATCAGACAAGGGATATTATCAGTGCGTTGCAAGAAACATTGCAGGCAGACGTGAAAGTGAAGAAGCACTTTTGTCAGTCACAGGTAATTTAGTTTTGACTCTTCATGTTGGTAATTCCTTGAAACCATACCTTATAAAATTACCGTCATTGAACGTCTCTTATAGAAGAAAAAAAAATTTTAAAGAAATTGTTTGAAAATTTTTTTTAAATTAATAAAAAAAATAAATAAAACCGGCCATTTTCTGGCTGAACGTGCACATTTTTGTGCAGTTACTATAGCTTTTAATTTTTATATTAGCTATTGTAATCTGTTAATTCTGATGAAAAAATCATGGACAGCTAGTCAATTACTGAACACATTCGGTGGAAGTGGCAGAGCTGTATTTTTGTAGATGAATGATGAGAACACCCTGAACAAATAAAAATAGTAATGATAATTATACCATTTCATGAGAGGGAGTCACCAAATGGTGCAATATACAATACACGATATCAACGACATTGCAGAACACCCCCATGACCTTGTGCCAAGGTTGCGTAATTCAAGGCCGACCAATCAGAAGTGAGGCTAAGCTGAAGGTTGACCAATCAGAAGTGAGCTAGTGTGTCTATGGCTGGTCCATGGGGACTCCAATGTTACTATTACCTACATCATGTTGTTGGGAAAGTTACAGGGAAAAAGTGGCAGAGGGAGACAAATAGAGAAGATGCTGGAAGTTTGACCTCATGGCATGAAGGATCACCTTTGTCAGAAATTACCGGAAATACGTGAGACAGAAGGCAGTGCTATACTACCAATACTGCATGGCACAGAATATAAAAAAAAGTTTTTTCCTATAATCTTTTTTTTCCCTTGACTTCTGAGAGTTTGACCAGTAGTTGTCAATTTATTTTTCATTAGCGGTAAGTTTGTTAGATCCTTCAACCTCAACATTCCTGTGGAATTATATTCAAAATGCCATAATTGACTGTCTAACATTACCAATCAGACTGCAGGTGAAATTATTTTCTGACTCCTGTATTAGATAATCTGGTGTATGGGGTACTGAGCAGACTGATGGACTAGCTGCTGCTGCTCTTCTCTACAGTGAGCTTCTTTAGGATTGTTGTGTGATAAGCTCACTTCGCTGTTCAATTGTACCAGGCGTCAGAGGCATGATTGCCTACGCCGGTCGTGAAGGCGCTGGATGATGATGAAGATAGTAACAGGGGCGCATGTTGCTTGAGGGGAGAGACAAGTGAAAAAGGTCCATGCTGTGCACGAAGTTGGGAAAGAGGGTTTCTGAAAGAGAGTTTCGCAGCTAACAGTGGTTTGCACAGATATTGCGAGATTAATGCATGGCCAAACACTGAGCTGAAAGTTAGCCAGTGCCCTGTCAGTGTCCCCAGTGTGTGTTCAGACGTGTGATTTTTATTTGTAATCATATGTATCATTTTATTCTGGAGAAAGCCTAATTTGTTCACTAGAAATCTGTGTATATTTTGGAATGCTCCAGTTGAGTGTATTTAAGGGAGACAAGGCGTGGAGAGCCCAACATCTCTTTTTGATCCAACTGCGATGGATGTCTTCCCGATCGCATTAGAGGCTGATTGTGACTGTGGGCCGGGAGGCCTAGTGCCGTGGGTATAGCCAGCCTTTAGTCAGCTATTATGTATAGGTTATTGGTGACCTAAATTGTGGGCACATACCAGGTGTTTGTTAAAGGCTACTGGTGACCCCAGGAGTGGGCTCATATACCGAAAGTTGTTGATGTTGTGGAATCATGTACAGTCAAGGCTAGGTGTCACCCTTTAAGGTGATACCACCTTGGAAGTATTCCAATGGGTTAAGGAGAACATTAGACGGACAGTATTTCTGTAAAAACTAAATTATCCTTATCGTCATACTGTGTTTTGTCCCAATAAATAGACTAATGCACGAATATAGAGATGACTTCTAATGTAGCATTGTTGACAGTTATCGGTATTAGTTGTATGATATGACTATGTGAACTGTGTTAATTAAACACTCTCCCGTAGTTGACCCAATTAGTCGGCAGAAGGTCGTAATTGGGAACATTCGTATATATGTGGGGGAACCATTAATCATTCACCTCTAGACCCTTCACTAGTAGGTGGTGCCTTACAAGCATTCGCTTTATAACAGTGAAAAAACAAACAGTGAAGGTTATCTGGGATAACATGGAGAGTTCAAGTTGTAAATTTTACTGACAGAATATTTTGTTTTTGTTGCCATCATTCACTTGTTCATACTTTTCAATATTTTTTTTTTCACATTTGTGTAAATTTATGAGGTTCTTTTAAGAAGAATTATACATTATACTTTTTCAGGAAACAAGTATGACAACATATTCTTTTTCTCTCTTTACAGCTTTAGCAGAATTAGCAGAACCAGATTTAGAGTTATCTGAAGGAGGCAGTTCTGGCAAAAAATCTGGAGGTGGCAAGCTCAGGGCAACGCGCCAGTCAATTAAAACATATTTCACTACAGAGCCCCAAGAGAAGTACTTTGTTACACAAGAAAAGCCACTTGTCATTGACTGCGGAGTTGTGGCAGCGGACATTTTGACATTCAGGTAAACCAAAGCAATATTTCCCCATTGTAAATTTGAATAAAGAAGACACAAACAATAAATTGCACTATTTATTGCCTCGTCAGGTGCACCAGGTCAGGTCATTTATAAAAGATTCACTTATTTGCTTCATTTATGTAATTTTTACTGTAGTATGCACCTGACAGGATAAGTAAAATATGCCAGGCAATAAATTGTGTAATCTATTGTCTGTGTCTTATTCAGGTAAGCAATTGCTTTTACTCTTTTCACTACTAAGCTATTTACATTGAATACTAGAATTTGTGAAAACTTAACAATTCACACCCCAGTAACAGTAATGGCTGTGGACTAACCCTTACTCTTTGTATAAGAGAGTGTGTAGTTTATACAGGGTGTTTGTAAGTCTCACTACACTTTGTATGTAGAACAAATGTGAAAAACACAGTATATTGGTCATAATAAAGTGTTCACATTCAGTCGCAAAGCATTCTGCAGTGAATTGCTGTCCTCTGCTGGAGTCATTCTTTGCACTCAAAACAGAATGGTGTTTTTAACAGAAGTAATCAGAATTATGATTCAAGAAATAACTACAGATGTGCTGCAGAAGGTATTAGACAATATGAAGAGATGTCTACATGCTTGTCTTGAAGCCTGTGTTGGATATTTCCAAAATCCTTAATGATGAATATTTCTTTAGTGCTTCCAGCTTCTCCAAAACAGAGGTAGACCATAGTAGTGGCTATTGTAACTAATTTAATGACTAGTTAAGCACATTTTTTGATGACGCCATGTAGTTAGGTTTTTGAATTGTTTCTGTATATAAAATGTAGTGTACCTTAAAAAACACCTTGTATATGCTTAACAGTTCATGACAATCCATGAATTGGCACAAAACTTAAGCAGTGCTTCAGAGAAAAGTTATAATTATATAATCAGAAGCAGTCATATATATTCTTTGTTTTTTGTTAGCACAGTGAAAGCCCTGTGTTCCCAGCAAACCATTAAAGTAAAATAAAAGTCAAGGACTTTTTTTTTACACAATTGGCCCAATGGGCATACATTGCTGGACTCATGTTTGTGCAGACCAACTGGCACTTTGTGGGTAATGTGAGCGACAACATGCCGGCCACATTTACTTACCAGGTCATTCCAGACTCATCCTGGACCTTAGAGCCAAGGTCAATTAGAGAAAAAAATGCTTTTATGGGAATTAAACCCAAGACCATCAAGCCAACAGCTGAGCATGTTAAGATATGTCAAAAAAACATTTTAATAAAATCTTTGGGGTTAATTTCAGGTGCAATGGAAAGAGAATGGACCGCTCACGACAGACCATTAATCAAGGTTTGGACACTGCGGGTAACAGGGTTATACAGGTTAGTTTCTACAATTACATTTATAATGTTTACAGTCTTATTTCACCTGCCCTTTATCCTCAGTTGAGCAGCTGGCTGAGTGGTTAGAGAACTTAGGTCTTTTGCAAGAGACCAGGGTAAGTTCAGTCCTCAGAAAAGGATAAAGATTGTTCTGTCAGGTGCAGAAATATAATCGTAAGTCTACAGTTCATGGCGAGTATACAAACACTGCAGCTTTACATCCTTAAGTTCATGATGCTCCTGTCCTTTACTGTCCTCATTATCATCATGTAGCAAGTCCTTTGCTCTCATTACAGTCTGCCTAAAAGAAACTCGGTCTCTCACCAGCCAGCTCTCCCACCTCACCTACTTTTATCCCCAAGAAGTCACATCCTATGCCTATCCTTGTGTTGATCTACTGCCCTAATAGAGGTAAATAAAAGCAGTAAAGACATCCACAGATGGAGCTTTTGCTCTCAGCTTGCATTAAGGCATCTAATCCTTCACTATCACATGCAGCTCACCCAGTGTCTTCCCAGTCTTTTGCACTTCAGGCTCCAATTCTCTTCTCCCTTTGAGCATTTCTTAAATGGGCTTTCTCATTTTGTTTCTTTGTCCCTATGGGTTCCAGTCCAATGATGTTCTAATTACATCATCAGTTTTTTTTTTATTTGGCACTGGGCATATTTTTCTAAACTCTTGGTTAACTGGAATTTGCTAAGTTCTCTCCCATTAGTGATTTTGTTAAACTACAGCGGTACCTAATTGTAAATCCCTAATCCGTTCCGGATCTTTGGATGCATACGAAACAGAATATATACCGAATAATTTTCTTATAAGAAATAAAGATACAATAATTAATCTTTTCCTCTTTAAAAAATGTGTTATTGGCAAATTATAGACTGATGGGGTTGTATAAAATAGTTTCAACACTGCTTAGTACTAAAACATATAAATAAAAAGTATCTTTTTTGTTTCCTACCTGGACCTGGCTGAGGCTCACCTTGCATGTTTGACTTTGACAATAGTATAGAAGATATCTGACAACAAAAACACCTGCCGGTTGCTTTTACATAAGTTAACTCTTTGAGTCCCAAGGAACGTATTAAACGTTCACAGGTTACTGCCTAGAAGCCAAATGAAAGCATAATGCGCCATTGTTACGTCTCTCTTGACTACCCCTTGGGCCTGTGATGCTAAACCCTCTGGGACTCAAATAGTTAAAGCTACATACCTGTGCAAAATGTGAAAAAAAAATATAAACATTTGCCAATATACAAATTAGAATAATAATAATGTGAAAACTACACTAAGATAGATAGCTTTAGAAAACTACAGGAAGGATTAAACAGTACATGCAAAGAACAAAAATCTGCTTATTACAAGCAAACTAATTGTATGTCATCACAGAGCATGCTCTTGAAGTGGGCAAGCTGTTTTGTCTTTGGCAACCTGCAGTCTTTCTCTGAGACATCTCCTTTCCATGGTTACACCTGTCTTTTCTGGTTTGCTTTGAGTGACTACCTCTAGGACTGGGAGCATAAGCTGAGTATAAATATGCGCTGTATAAGATGGTTTTGAGCTGATTTTGACCATACAGTATTTATTAACCATTTGTTTCTTTTTTTTTTCCCTCACAGTCTCAACTGAATATTACTTATGCTGATGTGCAAGCATTTCTGTCAGAATTTGGGGATAAAACCCCTTTTCACTGCATCTGTGTTGCTTGGTTCCAAGATGGTGGCGTACCAAATGGGTGGGGCATGATGAATTCCCAAAACAGCAGTGGTTTTGTTTACCTGGCATGTAAGTAACAGAAACCCAAGGTTTTGTTTACCTGGCATGTAACGGAAACATAATGTTTTCACTGTTTTTTTTTACTTGTCATTTATTTCTTGCCTGTTGGTCCAATGGTCATATGTGCAAACTTTTTTTTTTAGGCCCATATATTTTCATTTTAATTGATTTGAGCTTCATTCTCCTTCCTCCTCCCTCTTCAACTCCTCCTCCTCCCTCTTCTATGCCTCCTCCTTCTTCTTCTTAACGTTATCCCCCAATGGAGCATAGACCCTCAACAAGCACATTTCAAGATGTCCTATCCTTTGCTAATGCTTGCAGCTCACCTGATGTTCTCAAAATCATTTTTTCTTTATTCTCTAATTTCCTTCTCCATGTTTTTTTTTGGTGGTGGAGCGGGGGGGGGGGGGGGGGGGGGGGGGGGGGTGGGGGGTGGGGGGGGGGGGGGGGGGGGGGGGGGGGGGGGTGGGGGGGGGGGGGGGTGGGGGGGGGGGGGGGGGGGGGGGGGGGGGAAGGTATGCTGTGTTATCACAATCAATGTCACTGCACTCTGGGTATTTCCATGCGTGCTCAGTCCTCCGATGCTGCACCAGCCACTCCAGGGTACTTCTACTAATTGTTTCCACGAAAAGCTGGTTATATTGTCTCCTATTTTGGCATTGAAGTTGGCATAGATGTGCTTCATCATGCTTTACTCACATGTCATGCAATGATGTTAGTGTCAGGGATTCCTTCCTCATTATCCACTAGCCCAGTCCATGCAGTGTTGACGTTATTTGCTGTGTCTATGCTTCTTCCCACATGTGTTGGTGCATTGCTTGCCAGTTGGTCCGCTCGCTCATTACCCCTTTACACCCGCATGACCAGGTGTGTAGATCCAAGCAAGGAAAGTTAAGTGCGGTTTTAGAATGCTTTTCTACCCATTCAGAGCTCATACTGTGCATGTTGCTATCTTCTGAAGCATGTTCATTGAGTCTGATACAATTACTGCAATATCTGCTATATAAGCTTCCAGTATAACTCAGCTTTCTAGTCACTGGGTGGTGATCTTACAGGCAGCAATCTTGGAGGGTGATAATGTGTGAAAAAACAGAAAAGAGTCTAAAACATAATCATTTGACTTGAACATGAAGTCCCATATGGTAGATTTTCTCTGTATGATGCAAGTCTTTGAAATGCCACACCCCCCCCCCCCCCAACCCTCAATAGTTTCATACTGTCAGATCACAAGTTCAATTTTGTAATTTTATTTCACTGCTTATACCCTTTCCTCCCCCTTCCCCCATTATGGCATCAACTGATAGGGCTGCCTCTGTATCATAGTACAGCACAGCACTGTGTACATGTTTCAACAACACCAACACAACCATCACTTCCGTCACTTTGGTTTGAGAGTAAATGAAAAGTCACAGCATAAGATATGTAGTTTTGACAATCTCAACACCATTGATGTAAAAACACTTTCTGGTCAGATGAATATGAATTGATTTTTTGTTAACTTTGAAGCTAGCTTATAAAACTTGATCTTTATTTGTGTATGAAATGCTACATTTACAGATAATTTGAGTTTTACTTTTCACAACTTTTTAAATATTTTGTTTAAATTGTTGAGTAAAATATGCTTTCTAAAAACTGAATATTACACAATGGATTAATTAGAATCATCATCATGTGCCATGCAGCCAGTGTAGACCGTCATGATTTACCAATCCCAACAATGACCAGAATTAGATCAGTACCCTTGTCCGGCCCCATCCATGTGGCTAAGGCATGCTGGTATGTTTTTTAAAATGTTTTCCACTTACTGTTTTTCCATAAAGCTTGCCAGTTTTGGTTTAAGATGTCTCAAAATAATGTCCGCATCTAATCAGAATTCAACAGAGTTCAGAAGCTAATTTCTTTATCTTGTCATTATTGTAGACCTAGATGAAGCATTCAAAACTGAGCCATCTGATGTTACTGCTGGTCTCAATACTGATGCAACTTTTGCTTGTGAACCTCCTAAAGGTCAACCAAATCCATGGGTGAGTAACTCTTACAGATTTAAAAGTGAGATGACCAAGTGTGGTCCCATATGGCTTTGTTTCTTTCTGAAGAATGGTTAGCCACCTGTTGAGAGTGCCACACACAGCTTAATCTCCATTGCTCCACTGATTGTCCTAGGAGTCTCTGTAAAAGTTGCACCTATGAACCAAACAATGCAGTCCAGAAAATATCCCATGGCCTTCAGAAGGCAAAGCAAATGGTTTTACCTCGTCATAGCCAAGGAGAGTAATTCTTAGACAACTTGAAGCTAAAGATATAAACATCTCATGTAAACTTACTATAAACACCCCATGTAAACTTACTATGAACACCTCATGTAAACTTACTATAAACACCTTATGTAAACTTACTTGCTTTAGTTAAAATAATAACTGTCTTCATAGTTTTAGTGATAGCTTTAGCAGAACCCGGGTCAGTTCCAGCTGTGGATGATTAGGCATCAGACTGCTTTGCATTGATTTTAACAGTAGTATAAAGAGCTGACCATTCAGATGCAATGACAAAATACTGAATACAAAATTGCCTTGTAAAGCCAAACAGCCAAAAATAAAATATAGGGGTTGGTTCTGCAATTCCATGTAGAGGATATGCAGCTAACTCTTAGTAACTTTATATATGGAGGGTAAGCAGCTTTAAAATCTGCACTATTTATTAGGGCAGTGATTCTTAAACTGAATGCCACGGCGCCCCGGGAAACATCAACCTCTTCACAGAGGTGCTGCAAAATATTGTAAAAGCTTCATAATTAATTTAACGAAGACAAGAATAGTCATACTTTTACTAAGGTTAGGGCACAGTGGAAAAATTGTAATTGAAAAAATGTGCCGCGACCAAGAAATGTTTGGGAAACACTGTATTAGGACATCTTTAAATGAATATGTTTTGTTTATATATTTTTGTTTTCATTTTACTTGCTGAACTGAATATTTATTAATAACAATAGTTAATAATGCTATAATTATTTCTAATGATGGCAGTTCCTTTTTTGGGGGGGGAAGGGGGTGGGGGGAAAGGGAAGAGGGGGGGGGGAGTTGAAAATTTGAATGTATGTGTGGTCAAGTATTTTTTTTTTTTTTTTAAGACATCAGTGATAGGCACATAAAGAGTATGGATTGTTAAAGATTTTAAAAATACAGAATTGAATACGATGCTAATTCTAAATATTTTACATAAAACAGGTGTACTGGTACAAAGATGGTGCTCGACTGGATCCAAGGAGCAGTGAAAAGTATTCTGTCAATGATAAAGGCTATCTAACCATTCACGATGTGCAGTATGAAGATGCTGGAGCTTACAGCTGCTTGGCTGAGAACTTAGTTACTTCTGTGAAGAGCAGGACAGGGACATTAACTGTCACTGGTAAGTCAGTAAAGTCAACGACCCGCTTCCACGCCTTCAGACGTATAGGGCTAGACCTGTATTTTACAGACTACCTGGCATTTGGTGGGTGATGCAGTCGCCATCATGCCAGCTGCCTTTACTTTCCAGGATTTCACCTGGTACCCATTTAAGGTTGGGTTGACTTGGGTTGACCTGTGCCAAGCTCATTTTTGAAGGAAAAAAAAAAGAAAAAATAAAGTCCAGCTCCAACAGGACCCGAACCCATGACCTTCAGATCTGCAGGTGAGCATCTAGCTGCTACACCATGGCGGCTTCCAACTGTCACTGGTTGGCAACTTATTTCTCTGTTATAATTTTTCCGATGAACGGTTGAATAATTCATGCATTACCATCATTAAAAAATATACAAAACAACAAAACTGTATAAAACAATAATTTAAAAAAACCAGAGGGACGTAAAGTATGTATCAACTGTTACTACCACTGCCCCCCACCCCCATGTGGGTTCCGGGGCCCCATTGTGGGGAAAACAAGAATAGACCCACTGCCTTCTCAAAAGCATGTCGTGAGAGTCGACTAACTGGGGAGCTTCCTTTGAAGTCGGAGTGCATCTGCTGGAGAGGCAAGGAACCAGCAGTCTGTATTCAAGAGAATGAGATCTGTAAAACTGATGCACACACAACAGTCAGGTTCTGGAGCAGGACTGCAGTTCAGTAGTGGACGAGCAACCAGAACATTCCGCCAGAGTGTACAGCTGGTGAACACGAAGAAGAAGAAAACTACCACTGCCATTACTGCCTGTATTCACCACTTTTGCGGTGTAGGTGGAAAAGGGAGGGGGCGGGGTGGTTGGGAGGGGCAGGGAATTGAGGGTGGGGTGGTCTTTGAGCCTGAGAATTTAAGGCTTTATGGCTAGTTCTATTGTCACAGACTGTGCAAGTTAGGATTCTTTTTGTGTCCTGAACTGAACAAACAAACCACACACACACACAAAATCTAGCCTTACTGAAGTTTCAAACCCACGTCTGCCTGTATCAGCTATACAGAGTCAGTTACAATAAACAAACAAAGAACAATGTGGTTATTGGTCTTCCTATTTTGGATCTTGTTTTTTAACATTCTTTCTTGGCCTTTACTTGTCACCTGTTTTTGATATACTCATTACCATCAATTGCTATCCTCTGTGGCTTTGGTCAGTATGTCGCTTCACAATCATCTGTCCTATGAAGTCTGGACAGGTATAAGTGCTAATCATATTTTTAATTATTCAGCCTGTTTGTCATACCCTCAAACTTCTTGGCAGTTGTAATTTCCTGATACCTCATCTCAAAATATGGCAGCAATGAATATCTGAGTAATCATGTCTTCTTAACATTTCATGCAATTGTTATTGTAAATTTTCTTATTAAAATACTTGATTATTGGTCTCCATGATTGCCTATGAAATTGTCTCTGTGAATATGGCAACAGTGTCAGAATGTGATGAATGCAAAACTAAGACTAGAAAGCTCAGTGAAAAGAAAAGACAGTTTACAATAAGTTAGAGTTTAAATATGCCTGTATGTGTGTGTTTGTGTGTGTATGTGTGCGCATGCGTGCGCATGAATGTGCATGCGTGTGTGTGTATGTGTGTGTGTATACATACATATACATACACACACTTTTCAGTAGACATCACATTCAGTATCAATTACAAGAGACACCATAAAAATTGTCATTATTTGAACTATATCAGTGTTGTTACCAAATTAATTGTTTCATTTCTCAGAGGAAGCTTTAACAGCTACAACTGCAGCTCCTTCTGAAGATGATGTACCCCCATTTCCTTCAGTTATTCCTACAACACCAGTGTTCTTGCGGGACTTTGAGGCAGAGAATGTACTAGGGCCAGATGATACAAAGGCAATGGTGTGCGCTGTTGTTTCTGCAGAACAAATTACCATCGACTGCGGTGGCCAAAGACTTGCTGCTGATGATTACGAGCTGAAACAAAATCTACACAGAGAATCAGGTAATTTGGCGAGAAATATTTGTAGAGTAGTAAAATATTTGTTCTGTTACAAAAAATAGTTCTTAACACAGTGAATTCTTTCAGTACCAAGTACTGGTCACACATTTAATGGTGTGTAGGCTTGATAATTGTGAGTGAGGAGAGGAGTAGGTCAGGGTGTCCGGACAAGTTTCAGACTTGTGTAGGGTTCTAATCACGTTAGGTCGTGAGTGCAGAGACTGGCCAGCTGCTGCTGCGGAATCAGAAGTTCAACAAATGATTTGTGACAATTCGTGCCCAAGTGATGTGATTATCTATGCAGATGGCTCTGTGTTAAGGGGCAGATGAAATGCATGGGGTTTCATAGCAAAGGTGAATGTAAGCCTAGTGCAGCAAAGCCTTGCATATGATATCACAACATCTAGTTTGAGAATGGAGGTGGAGGCAGTCTCTGCTGCCTTCCGCTGGCTTGAGAATCAGCTGTACACATATGCAGTGATTGTAACTGACACACAGAGCATGTTGAGAAAGGTGAAAACAGGCATGCTTCGTGCAGAGTGGCAAGCATCACTTCAGAGGTCCCGGGTGGTTAGCATCCTTTGAATGTTTTCTCCGGATCATGCCTGTGTGTGGGGAAATGAGCAGGCAGATAGACTGGCTAGCACTGCACCACTTGGTGATGAAATGATGTATGACAAGTAAGATATTGTGAGGGCCCTTTAGGAACGGGTGAACTGTGTGGAGGCACAGATAGATCATTACGGTTTGAGGAGATTGGCACTGCGAGAAGTTACCAGGGAATCTGGCTAACGCTCAACACTCTGGGGAAGGATGAGACAGATATACAATCAGACATTGAAACTTTTTGCTTTGCTGCTGAAGATGGGGACTGAGCACTTATGGGAGTGTCCAGAGGGCTGTGATGTTGATTCTTAATTCCACATTCAACAAGTGTGCAAATGTGATGGATTCATCCACCCCTGATCCACAGGTTGTTTCTGAAAGACCTGACCAGGTCTGCCACATACAGACTGGTCAGCCCTCAAAGAAAGGCAGGGGCAGACAATAAATGGGCATTGCCAGCTTTCCAAAGGGTCTTCCAAAAGTGCAGAGCTAATACATGGCACTCTGGTACTGGGATTTTCCAAGAAATCACCACACCCTGCACATGACCACTTAACCTCTTTGAATTGTGTCTTCCACTATTATGGGGTGGACACCAAAGCTATCCCCATGGAACAGTCTGCAGATCTAAGACTGATTGCCTTTACAAAATAAGCATCTGGCTTCCTCAGCATGCTAGGCTTCTCTCTTTTCAAATAGCACTTTTCATATAGATGCCCTGGAGCATTTTAAATGGCATTTTCAGGAAGCATCAGGCAAACTTCCCATAATATGGTCATTACACTCTGATAAATTAGCTAATGGTAACAGATATTTGAACCTTTGTGTCATAGAGGATCTTTGAGTGAAAGACATCTGAACCTTTGCTGTCATATAGTGGAAAACTTGATGGGTGGAGATTTGAATTTAAGTAGCCAGATGTCTGAACCAAATTTTTTTCATTTAGTAGGAATCTCAGTTGACAGATGTTTCAACCAAAGTTTGTCATTTAGTAGGAATCTCAGCTGACAGATGTTTCAACCAAAGTTTGTCATTTAGTAGGAATCTCAGCTGACAGATGTTTCAACCAAACTTTTTCATTTAGTAGGAATCTCAGTCGACAGATGTTTTAACCAAACTTTTTAATTTAGTAGGAATCTCAGCTGACAGATGTTTGAACCAAAGTTTGTCATTTAGTAGGAATCTCAGCTGACAGATGTTTCAACCAAGCTTTTTCATTTAGTAGGAATCTCAGTTGACAGATGTTTGAACCAAAGTTTGTCATTTAGTAGGAATCTCAGCTGACAGATGTTTCAACCAAACTTTTTCATTTAGTAGGAATCTCAGTTGACAGATGTTTGAACCAAAGTTTGTCATTTAGTAGGAATCTCAGCTGACAGATGTTTCAACCAAACTTTTTCATTTAGTAGGAATCTCAGCTGACAGATGTTTCAACCAAACTTTTTCATTTAGTAGGAATCTCAGCTGACAGATGTTTCAACCAAACTTTTTCATTTAGTAGGAATCTCAGTCGACAGATGTTTCAACCAAACTTTTTCATTTAGTAGGAATCTCAGCTGACAGATGTTTGAACCAAAGTTTGTCATTTAGTAGGAATCTCAGCTGACAGATGTTTCAACCAAACTTTTTCATTTAGTAGGAATCTCAGTTGACAGATGTTTGAACCAAAGTTTGTCATTTAGTAGGAATCTCAGCTGACAGATGTTTCAACCAAACTTTTTCATTTAGTAGGAATCTCAGTTGACCGATGTTTGAACCAAAGTTTGTCATTTAGTAGGAATCTCAGCTGACAGATGTTTAAACCAAAGTTTTTCATTTAGTAGGAATCTCAGCTGACAGATGTTTCAACCAAACTTTTTCATTTAGTAGGAATCTCAGTCGACAAATGTTTCAACCAAACTTTTTCATTTATTAGGAATCTCAGCTGACAGATGTTTGAACCAAAGTTTGTCATTTAGTAGGAATCTCAGCTGACAAATGTTTCAACCAAACTTTTTCATTTAGTAGGAATCTCAGTTGACCGATGTTTGAACCAAAGTTTGTCATTTAGTAGGAATCTCAGCTGACAGATGTTTCAACCAAAGTTTTTCATTTAGTAGGAATCTCAGCTGACAGATGTTTCAACCAAACTTTTTCATTTAGTAGGAATCTCAGTCGACAGATGTTTCAACCAAACTTTTTTATTTAGTAGGAATCTCAGTCGACAAATGTTTCAACCAAACTTTTTCATTTATTAGGAATCTCAGCTGACAGATGTTTGAACCAAAGTTTGTCATTTAGTAGGAATCTCAGCTGACAGATGTTTCAACCAAACTTTTTCATTTAGTAGGAATCTCAGTTGACCGATGTTTGAACCAAAGTTTGTCATTTAGTAGGAATCTCAGCTGACAGATGTTTCAACCAAAGTTTTTCATTTAGTAGGAATCTCAGCTGACAGATGTTTCAACCAAACTTTTTCATTTAGTAGGAATCTCAGTCGACAGATGTTTCAACCAAACTTTTTCATTTAGTAGGAATCTCAGTCGACAAATGTTTCAACCAAACTTTTTCATTTAGTAGGAATCTCAGCTGACAGATGTTTGAACCAAAGTTTGTCATTTAGTAGGAATCTTAGTCGACAGATGTTTCAACCAAACTTTTTCATTTAGTAGGAGTCTCTGCTGACAGATGTTTCAACCAAAGTTTGTCATTTAGTAGGAATCTCAGCTGACAGATGTTTCAACCAAACTTTTTCATTTAGTAGGAATCTCAGTTGACAGATGTTTCAACCAAAGTTTGTCATTTAGTAGGAATCTCAGCTGACAGATTTTTGAACCAAAGTGTGTCATTTAGTAGGAATCTCAGCTGACAGATGTTTCAACCAAACTTTTTCATTTAGTAAAAATCTCAGTTGACAGATGTTTGAACCAAAGTTTCATTTAGTAGGAATCTCAGTCGACAGATGTTTCAACCAAACTTTTTCATTTAGTAGGAATCTCAGTTGACAGATGTCTGAACAAAATTTTTTTCATTTAGTAGGAATCTCAGTAGACAGATGTTTGAACCAAAGTTTGTCATTTAGTAGGAATCTCAGTCGACAGATGTTTCAACCAAACTTTTTCATTTAGTAGGAATGTCAGTTGACAGATGTCTGAACCCCATTTTTTTTATTTAGTAGGAATCTCAGTTGACAGATGTCTGAACCAAATTTTATTCATTTAGTAGGAATCTCAGTTGACAGATGTTTGAACCAAATTTTTTTCGTTTAGTAGGAATCTCAGTTGACCGATGTTTGAACCAAACTTCGTCATTTAGTAGAAATCTCAGTTGACAGATGTTGAAACCAAACTTTATCATTTAGTAGGAACCTCAGTTGACAGATGTTTGAACCAAATTTTATCATTTAGTAGGAACCTCAGTTGACAGATGTTTGAACCAAAGTTTGTCATTTAGTAGAAATCTCAGTTGACAGATGTTTGAACCAATGGAAAGAAGTTAAATGTAGAATAACTCGGCAAAGTCAGCATTTTTACAAAATGAAGAATATTCTATAACTTCTTTCTTTGTCAGCTGAGAAGAGAAAGAAAATCCTCAAATAGCTATATAAACACTATTCTGATATAGTGAATGCATCATGGACAGTTGGTAGATTAGTGAAAAATTGTCTTGAAGTGGCAGAGATGGGTCAATGCCTACAATCCTGGCACAGATAAGAAGATTAATGCAGATTTCTTGAAAGAAACTGACTCTGGAAGAAAACTGATTGCCCACATCAGAAGGGGACAAGCTACATTCTTTACTCATGTCATGAGAAGGAGAAAACTGGAGTTGTCATGACAGTGGGTAAGGTGGAAGGAGAAAAGAGACAGAGAGAGACTTGGAGAAAAGATGCTGTACAGTTCAATATTAATTAGTTAGTTAGTTAGTTAGTTAGTTAGTTAGTTAGTTAGTTAGTTAGTTAGTTAGTTAGTTAGTTAGTTAGTTAGTTAGTTAGTTAGTTAGTTAGTTAGTTAGTTAGTTAGTTAGTTAGTTAGTTAGTTAGTTAGTTAGTTAGTTAGTTAGCTAGTTAGTTAGTTAGTTAGTTAGTTAGTCGACAGATTATCCTCATTGCACGTCAAACCACTCAGTCCATAAGTGCTCGTATCCCCTCCTCAGTAAATCACGCAGCGTTTAGCGCCTAATGACACCAGTTCTGTGTTGGTTTTTTCTTCTTCTTTGACTACATGCATAGTGTTCATGTTTGGCGACACCCCGTTTAACATGTTGTTCTTGCCATGGTTGCAGATTCACAGTTCTCAGTTGGTTCACACAAACCTCTTAACTCTCTTAGAGCATTCAGTATATCAGCCTGGGCCATGGCTTGTCCAGCTTTCACAGTAGCTTTACCTGCAAGCCTATCAGCTTGCTCGTTTCCTTGTACCCCCACATGTCCTGGCATAAAAATGAAACTAATCCTTGTCAGCCGTGCATTCTGTTGAGTCTTCCTGAGCATACTCGAGTCACTGAGAAAGCATGTTATTATGGCATGGAAGACCATTTGTGTCAGAACTGATAGAAAGTACATGAAACAGAAGGCTGGCGATAGACATGACTACCAACGCTACATGGCATGAACTATAAGAAGAAAAACCCTTTAAACATACTAGCCCTGCGCCTCTGAGTCTTATACAAAGATAAACTCATTCAATCTCAGGGATTTATTGCTTCAGCACCTTCTGTCACAAAATCATTCAGCGTTACAGTTTCAGTCTTTGAACCTGAAGAAGTCAACATAATGGAAGCATGTGACATCCCACAGTTAATGAAGTTTAAAATGTCAAGATGGTAACTGTTGGTCTGTTATGTTTGTTTCCAGGAAAGCGCTTGCTGTATGTTAAGGCAGTGATAACCGCCGACAGAGTGGCTAGCAAGCCTGATGACTACTTCTGCCAGTGCATAGCCTGGTACCTGAATGATAAAATGGCTTGGGAAAGAATTGCAAGTACTAAGGGCTACATTCGACCATCACCAGTGGCTTCATGTGAGATTTTGTCAATGAATAATAATAATAATATTAATAATAACCTTAATACTTATTTTTGTTTATATAAATGCATGTAACTGTTTTATATTATTCTGAGGTTTGAACAATGGACTAACATCATGGCACATGGGTAGTTACCCATAAGTGCTACGTTCTACTTCTAACTCAAGTGTGAGAACTGAAGTAGCTCAGTGCAGTGCACAGGCTCTGAAGCACCGGCAAGGATCCTGAAATATTTTGGGTAGATTTTTAACTCCAAATTTTTCCCGGACAGCGCCGTTATACTACTCTTTTTGATTTCCAACTGCCAAGGGATTTTTTTACATGTGCAAAAATACACATAAGCGTCTGATCTAACTACCCAGAGACGAGGGGAAATTACTAGAAGCCCATGTAAACAGAAAAAATCCCAACCTTCACTGGGGCTTGAACCCAGGACCTCTAGTGCTCGAGGCGGACACTATACCTTGAGACCATGCAGCCCCCACGCAGTATTTGTTTTAGTTAGTTGCAACCCTAACTTATGACAATGGGTCACTCCATAATTGTTTTGTTACCGTTTCAGTGAAAACAATACATAATGTTTTCTTTTCCCCCACAATAATGGGTATTTATATTTTTCTGAAACATTTGCTTATTTCATTAAAAAAACATCATCATCATTTGTGCGCCATTAGACATCACATAGATAAGATTCCTTCACTTGGCAACTCTCTCGATTTTTGATATGTTCAACCCAGCATTTTAGCCTTAAAAAATGTTCTTCTTAATGTTTTTCTCATACCCTGTGTTTCCCATTTCAGTGCTTATTTTGTAATTCTTTGCTCATTTCATCTCAGAATAAGCCTATTGTATCTTCCCCTTCTTTGTCTTATTGCAGTCAATACAGGCATTTGTCCAGACATTTCTCTGATCTCCTCACTCTTTTTGAATTCATTCCATTTTATGTTCATGATTTTTCTCAGACATTTAATTTTCATTCCATATCTTTGGTGGTTCTCCAACTTGTGCTGGCATATTTTAGAATTAATTTAGCATTACAATTTAAACTTTGTAGTTTGGTTTTAAAGCTGTATAACTTTGAGCTCTATACTTTGTTAAGATTTGTAAAGACTGTTGCTGCTTTGCACAATTAATGGTGACTGCATGAGCCATGAGGCTCAAAATCTTTAGACTAGAAAATGAACTCTTGCCTTCCTTTACCTATCATCTCAACTGACACCACTCTGAAAAGAGTATAGTTAGTGTTTAAAAAAAAAAGATAATTTAAAGATTTTTTTTTCAGCCTGTTTTTTCTTTTTACTTTTCATTTTACATTTCTTCATCCCATGGTCTTCTTCTTCTTCTTCCTCTTCTTCTCTTTCTCCAGTTAACTCACCGAAGTGTTGTGGCTTTTCTGATAACTCATTGAAACTTTTTATATTGCAAGCTCTGAAACTTACTTAAAAAATATTTAAAGTGCTGTAATATGAATCTTCTATATCTTGCAGATATTGGAACTCAGTTTGAGGTGGTTCCAGCGGATACAGATGCTCATTTTGAATCAGAGGCACAGCTTGTTTGCAGGCCACCAGAAGGAAATCCCACTCCTACAGTAAATTATTCTCCTTTTTGTTTTTTAAATTAGCTTTTTTTAAACCCTTTTGGACATCTTATGTATTTATAAATAATTAGTATTGTGAAAGTACTGTTTTAAAAATAGTTTATGCTATTTTTGTAAATAATCTTTTTGGTTTGTGTGTGTGTGTGTAAATGTTGTTATATAACGTACCATGCAAAATTTGCCAAATGAAAATCAAACTAACAAGTAACATCCTATCAAGAGCAATAAGAAAAACAAATTGTTAGAGTGCTATACTGAAGTTGTAATGACTTTAAATGCTGGAGGGTTCTATTGCATAGACGTTAGCGAAACCACTATGACATCCTCTGAGATTCCCAAGGTTCAATTCCCATTGTGGGCCATTTGGAAAAAAGACCATTCTTGTGGCTTTCAGAATGTGGTATGAGAGTCAGCCTCCCTTCCCCCACGCCACTTCCCTGGAAGAGAATGGGGTTGATTGGATTGATTCACAAAGTTAGCAGTGAATACATTATAGCCAACCTCCATTAAATAATGGTGCTTGCAACTGAACAATGAACAGTAAGTAGGCTAACCGAGAGACAAACTATTACAGCTGGAATGTGTTTTAGGATAATGCAAATAATGTCAAGAGCAGACAAGAAAACAACAGAAATCACAATGAGACCTGTAAATATACTAGGGAAATTAGGCATAGACAGTTAACATTTGTGTACTTATTTGATGATAAATAAACTTCTAGACAATTGCATTATTTGGAAAAGATATTTGTGGATGGTATTAAAAATAAAATGAAACCTCAAGAACAGAAGTAATCTGTATAGAGAGATATATTAAAATAATAAAGTTAAAATGGTGTTAGAGTTTATAACCAAAAGTTAATATTTTTATATTGGGTAAAATACATTGTTAAAACTTAATATAGATTAGGCATTTGTTACTTAAAGTAAGATATGTGTGGGTCTGAACAAGTCCAGATCATAAAACTATAGAATAAAATCAGTCAGCGTAGAAAATGGCCATCATCATCATCAATCAGCAGGGCATTTACAAAATTTTGCTCTCTTCACTCTTTTTACGGCACATCTAAAAGTCTCTCTTTCTTTAGCCACTTCTTCAGCCCTGTGTACTTTCATAGCCACTGCATCTTCAATGTCTTATATCCACCATCACAGACGTTTGGCCAATGCCTTATTTTCTTGAAGCTGCACCTTCCATCATAGTTTTCACCAGGCAACCATGGTCCTTAACATGGCCAAAATACTTCTGTTTTTGGAACAGGATGCTGTTTATGAGCCAGTTCTCCTTGATATTCTTGGTGAATTAATTTTCTGCAGTATTTCACTTCAAAAGCTCTGATTTTATCTTCAAAAATTTCATAGAGTTAGTTAACATAGAGCTAGATAAGTAATGAGGAGTTAAAATATAGCATATTATGCATAGAGTAACAAATACTTGCTTACTACTGAAAGATTTAAACATAATAGCTTTGTATTTTATTTTGTTTTTAGAAATGAGCTTATTCTATATTTTGTTTTTATAATCAAGATTTACTGGTTGAAAGATGGCGTCCGCATTGATCCTGAACATGATGCAAACTATGTTGTCAATGAAGGAACTCTCTTCATTGAATATGTTCGTGCAACAGATGAAGGGCAATATACGTGTGTTGCAGAAAATGAGGCTGGAACTCTTGAATCACAACCAATCCAGTTCACAGTAATTGGTATGTCTTTAACATTCATGTTAAAAATGTTTGTACGACATATGTTTTTACTTTGTTAACTCTTTGAGTCCCACGGAGCGAATCATACGTTCATGGCTTCCTACCTAGAAGCCCAATGAATGCATGATGCGACTATTTTATGACTTTATTTACCACCCCCTGGGCCTGTGATGTTAAACCCCCTGGGACTAAAAGAGTTTAAAATTATTTAAAATATTAGGATAGTATATTAAATCCATGAAATATTGAATCTAAAAAAGAAGATCTCATTGATAAGATTTCCAGTTTTCTCATAATGTGAAGATCCCTGTTTAGATTTTGTACTGCGTCATTTGATTCATGGGTACAGTATTTTCACAGGTCTGGGAATTGTCCCGGGAGCTGCAGATGTTTAAAGCACCATTAATTGCTGCATTAATTGTGATGACTAATAGACTGCAATGATGCAGGCATATGAGACAAGGCAGATAACAGAGAGACAACAACTGCTTACTCAAAACTGCTGACTGGGAGTAGACCACAAGGCAGACCAAAAAGCCAGATCTACAAGCACTTGGAACACTAGTTGGAAAGAGAAGGCCAGTTACAGAGATAATGAGAGCATTTGATATCTTCAGCTAGGAACCCCAAGGGTTTTGAAAAATGAAGAAAAATATCAATGGTCAAGCGTGTAAAGTCTTTACAATGTCTTTAATAATTACTATAAACAATTTTTAACAAGTAGATAAAAATGCTGAAATTGAACTTTAAATTTCAAACATAAAATTATAAAGGTTTTGCCTTTTACACAGGTAAGCCAGAACTTCCAACAGATGCACCTGGAACAGAAGTGGAAACCACAACTCTCAGTGAAGAAGATCAAACAGAGTAAGATTGATTTTCATAGTTATTGTTTATTTACTATTAGGAACAAGCGATTACCCCTGTCTACCTAGGATTTGCCAGTCTCTGTTGTGAGGAAGCCTGCAAAAAACAACAAACAGGGAATGCTGCAAGACCAGAAGAGAGTATTAGTAATTCCCCATAGTCATACTTAACAACCATTGTACAAATGTAAGAGCAAAGTTGTGAATATATAAATTTAAACTCTTATTTCATTGTAACTTCTTCTTCTTCTTTGCATTCGGTTGAGTATGCTCAGATCAGACCATCAGGTGGTTTGCCTCTATGAACTTGCATGTCAGTAGCAGGTCCTTCATGGTTTCCCAAAGCTTGCTCTGCACACTTTGCTCTTGAGGCCAGGTGTCTTTTCAAAGTTGCAGGTAGAGTGGGCAGGTCTGCAGAATGTACTCAGGTGTTTGTGGTCCTGTTTGACCCTATTGTAACTTTAAAGATTACTCTTATTAGATTGTAAATTGAAAGATTAACATTTTTTTCAATACATATAATGACACAGTCAGTGATTGTTTAATGTGCTGAGAAATATTCTTATTGCATCTTGCTACTTTGTTCCTCCATATACTGCAAATAGCTAATATTATTTTATTTTTAAACATAAGTGGCCAGAATTTAAAAAGTTATTAAGTAAATTCCTACATACTTTATGAAATGTTATGATGTCCAATTGCTGTAAAATGTTCAGTTTGCTTATGGAATTGTCATTTTTATTTGAGGCTAGACCTCAAGCCAGTCAAAGTGTGTGTAAAATTCACATCTGATATGGTACTATGTTTCTTGGAGGCAGAGATAAATGCCATACCTTTAAGCTGTTTCATGTAATTAATTCTCTTGTCTGATTATACCAGAATGTTGTTATACAGTCTATGTTTAAAACCATGCTAAAAGCCACTTTCAGAAGTGATGAATATAGGGACTATTTGAGTGCAAATACTGGCATCTAAATGACAAATATCATCAGATGCCTTTTTGAACTGATGGTGAGGGCAAAAACAGAGACTAGAGAAAGTTGGAAGAAATTTGGTCAGATATCTAAAGAAATCTTGCAAGAAATAATACAGTTTATACAGAAATAAACAGATGGGGAACTCTTGAGGCACATGCTGTGTGTTAAGATAAGATCATATTTTTTTTACCCTGCTACTGATTTGAGTGCATGGTGCAACACTATGAGCTGTGGATTTCATTTATAATATTTTTCAGCTGTGGCTAACATGGTCGTAAACTGTAGGTTCAGTAGCACGTGGCATGTTGCCACAGAATTGGTGGTGCCTCTTGTGGTTAAAATTGATCGGGTTTGCAGCTGTTGCTTCTGTTGATGATAAACCATGAATTACAACAATATCATTTACAAAGAAAGAAAATTTGGAAAAAGTTTGAAAAAAAAAAAGGAGTGAAGATCCCTTTTCACGCCTTTTAGACGTATCGGGCATATAGGAAGAACGCCCATATTATTACAGACCATCGGCACTAAGTGGGTAATATATGTATATGTGCGGACATTTTGAGAGTTTTTCATTGGTACATGAGCAGAGCAACTATGGGGTGACAAGTTTACTATGAAGCTGAAACTAAGATCACCAAGATCAATAAGTCATGTTGTAAAATGCACAGGATTCAGTAATCATCTTGATTTGTATCTAATGTCTTTAAACAAGTGACTGCATTTCTGTTTTCAGGTCAGTAGAGGGAGGGCCTGTTTTCACCCAGGAACTTGATGATGAATATTATATTTCTGATGAGCATCCAGTCACCCTGCATTGTGGTGTCCTCAGTGTTAAAACACTGTTATTTGTTGTAAGTTGCATTACAATTCGTTTTATGTGATAACAGTTTTTCTGCAGGACTTTCTTCAAAGTTTATTGCCTTGATGCAAAATGGCTGAATCACCAATTTCAACACATGGTGTCAATGAAAGAAGTTCACAAATAAACTAAAACAGACATAAAAACTGTAAACTGATTAGATAAATAATAAAGATTATTTAGACTGCTTTTGCCGATTCCACCTGGATATACACTAGAGTAGTGAGTAAATGGGTTTGAATCCTAACACTGCACAACCCACATGAGAAACTGGACTAATATCTGATCTATGTTAATCCTAGACACAGTCCTGGATACCCAAGAAAATTGCACTAGTGACTCATACAACAAAATGAAAGTAGCTGTACTTATATCCCCAGGAGTATGAAAAGGGTTGTAAGATATCAAGATGAAATTCAATGAGAATATTAAGATACACAGTTAACCCCTCTGTCTTTCTACTCTACTGGTATTAATTTATATAATTTATAACAAAAGCCCCTATCTTTCTCCAAAAACCTTAGTATTTTATTGATTTTGTTTCCATTAAATGCAACCTATTCTTTTGAATATCCGCATCTAAAGTGCCTCGGTTCAATGTTATAACTGCTTCTTACCGTGTAATTATGGATTCTTTTGTTTGAACTGTTGATCACAGAAAAACCGATCATGGAAAAATGGATGTTCAACCCTAACAGGACCGCACAATCAGCGATAAACACCCGGTGACACAAAGTGCCACCCTTTAGATGAGAAGTGCCTGGGCAAGTCCCAGAAACCCTGTTCAACCGTTAGGTTATATTAGGGCCCCCAATAAATGCTGGTGTAAGGCTTTCAAATAAAAAAAATAAAAAATTGAGTTCTATATTGCAATGGCTAGTTTTTTTAATTAAATAACATGGGGGAAGAAGCATTGGATCTTTAGGAAAAGGAGGAGAATAAGGATGTAAATTACAACCCTATATCAACTTTTAATTTTTTAATTTGTCTGATAAATGATAACCATTTGTTTTCTGCTTATATTCTCTGTATTCACTGGGGCCCTGGCGGAAAGTCTTGGTTGTCTGTCCATCTCTGGACTTTAGTCTTGTTCTATAACTTGGGTTTTACATGCACATCTGTTTTACAGATTTGTCCTATTTGTAAGCAGACTGTTTTTAGTCTCATCTCAGGTACATGCAAACTGACTTCAGAAGAAAAAAAAACTAATTAGTAGACTTTTACAACATGCTTGTTAAGGGAGCTGTGGTTCTAATATTCCCTCCCCCCCCCCCCCCCCCCAACCCAGTGGAGCCCCAGAACCCACAAAGGGATCAGCTATTTTAAACATTGACAACTTTCAAATTTCATAACCAAACAAACGTCTAGTCGTTTAAACCAGTGGTTGACTGTTAGCAAAGTCCTGAAAACTTTCTTTATTGTCAGAGGTCTGCAGAGAACCCCATACTTTTTAATAGTTGTACTGAAGAACCTAGGGAGTCGCCGTGGTGGAGCAGCTAGAAGCTAGAAGGTCATGGGTTCGCTCCCTGGTGAAGCCGGACTTTTTTTCAAAAATGACCTTGGCTCCCAGGTCAACCCAGCCTTGAGTGGGTGCAGTCCTGGGAGGTAAAGGGGGCTGCAGTGATGCTGACCACATCACCCACCTTGTGCCATTGGTCAATGAAATATAGGTCTAGCCCTATACGCCTGAAAGGTGTGGAAAAAGGTCCTTTACTTTATTTACTGAAGAACCTATTATAATAAGGTAAGGGTGTTTCATATTATCACAGACCCCTTCAGTGTGTTCCTCTGGAGGGCCGCTGACCGCCAAATAGGAAACACTGATTCAAAGCATTCATGAAACAGATGCCATGTTACTGGTGCCATTGGAACTGAAACTCTTCACGTGCTGCTGAAGATGGGGATGGAGCACTTATGGGGGTGTCCTGAGTGCTGTAATGTCGATTCTTAATTCAACTTTAACAACATTCAACATTTATGAAACAGAGAACTGTTTGGTAGGGAATAAGTTCATATAATTGTAAAAGTCATTAATTTCTACAATGTCTACATGTTTACATTTCTTTCTATTTAGTGTAATGGACTCGTTTTGAAAGAAACTGCAACTACAGGTGACAGTTTTGTACATCCAATCACCATGGAGACCATTCGATCAAATCACTTGACTATAACTAGGGAACAGGTAGGCAACACATATAATGATAAATGCTATATGTGCATCACTGTGAGAATTGGGAGCTGCCATGATGTAGTGGCTAGACGTTTGTCTGCTGATCCCAGGGTCATGGGCTCAAGTCGTGACTGCTGGGATTGTCAAAAATGACCTTGGCTCCAAGGTTGACCCAGCCTTAAATGGGTACCAGGTAAACTCCTGGAAAGTAATAGCAGTCAGCATGAAGTTGTCCATGTCAACCACCAAGTATGGATTGCTCTGTAAAATATAGATCTAGCCCTATATGCCCAGTGTGCCTGAAGGCATGGAAAAGGGTCCCTACCATGAGAATTACTACAAGGATAAGCAAAATATTTCCCCCAATGGGAAATGCACTAAGGGTAAGTCATATACATATCTGTCCCAGTGACAACTGCTCCAAAAGTAAACAGAATTTGAAAATTGCAACAAACTGTTTCAAAAGCTGTAAATCAACTGCATTAACTCTTTCTCTTCCAGTAAGTGTATCTTCTGTTTCTTAACCCCCACTGGCTGTAAACTGCGACAGTCATTTTTCTGGTTGTTGGCCCACTTCTGGACTTTGAACTTGTTCCACAACTTGAGTTTTGTGTGCACACATAGATTTACAGATCTGGCTTATTTCTATGCAGACTTTTGCTCCTAACCTCCCAGGCAGATGCGCTCTGACTTTGAAGGAAAGGGAAGACTCTTAATTATTCACATTGTATGACATGCATGTTAGTGAGCAGTGGATCTATTCCCCCCCCCCCCCCCCCCCCCCCCCCACCCCCAATAGCACCTGGAACCTACATAAAGATGTCAGAAAGTGTTTCTCATAGAGTAGGATCAAATCAAGTCAGAGACGTCCAAGTTTGGCCTTCAAACTGACACTCAATGATGGCTGAAATATTCAGGATCCCATACTGAAATGCTATTTTTGTAGCTTTGGCAATAAAAAGGGTGCCAGCTAAAGTCATGAGAAGTAAGGTGACTGTCATTGGCACCCGGGTTGCTCATTGGCTAAGCAGCAGACAACTTTGTTGCTGGTCGAGACAGTATTTGGGTATGTCCCCTTCAATCGCATCAACACTGCAAGAGTCCTTTTTGGGGCTACTCGGTGGCGAGCAATAAGTATGTCGTTTTATAGCACACATAAGAAGTCATAATTATAACCTAAAACAGAGGATGCTGGGTGAAGGTGATGATTTTTTTTTTTTTTTTGCAAAGCAAAACAAGCCAAGCAAAGGTGGCTGGTGTGGTGTTTGCCACATCACTCATCAAGGGCTGTTTGGTCTATAAAAATGTGATTCCAGCATTATATGCCAGATGCACACAACTGGTGTGAAAACTGTTCTTCTTTAATGTGATGCACACAACTGGTGTGAAAACTTTTCTTCTTTAATGTGATGGACACAACTGGTGTGAAAACTTTTCTTCTTTAATGTGATGTACACAACTGGTGTGAAAACTTTTCTTCTTTAATGTGATGCACACAACTGGTGTGAAAACTTTTCTTCTTTAATGTGATGTACACAACTGGTGTGAAAACTGTTCTTCATTAATGTGATGTACACAACTGGTGTGAAAACTTTTCTTCTTTAATGTGATGTACACAACTGGTGTGAAAACTGTTCTTTATTAATGTGATGTACACAACTGGTGTGAAAACTTTTCTTCTTTAATGTGATGCACACAACTGGTGTGAAAACTTTTCTTCTTTAATATGATGTACACAACTGGTGTGAAGACTTCTCTCCTTTAATGTTTATTTATGAGGCATTTTGTTTCCATTTTATCACCAAAATATGGCCATGTATTACAACAATATCATTTACAAAAGAAAGAAAATTAGGCAAAATTTAAACAAACAAAAAATAAGTTACAAAAAGTAAAGATCCCTTTTCACGCCTTTTAGGCGAATTGAGCATTTCGGAAGAGCACCCATATTTTTTACAGACCATCGGCACTAGGTGGGTAATGTGGTAAGCATTATGCTAGCCATCTTTACTTCCCAAGGACTGCCATCCTAGTACCTATTTTAGGCTGGATCGACCTGTGATACCCCATACCATGGTAAGAATCCTAGCAGCCAGCAGTGAATTTTGATCACAGTAGGCTGGAATTATGAGTTGAACTCACAACGCACAAGCCTCAGGCGTCGCATTAGGAAAAATATTGCCTTGTAATTCATCATGAGTTGATATCCGAATTCAGCGAGTACAAAATGTAAATCATTGTTAATCTCAACTTGTATTCAGCAGATTCTTATTGATTAACTTGTATAGGTTAATATTGTCTATTCTCTTATGAGAAACATCAGACACTGTTTATTTAAACTTGTACAGCCTTTTTTTTCTTTTCTATTTTCTGTATCTTCTTCTTCTTCAGCATTCTGAGCCCTTGAAGTTCATTGCTGCAGATTATCACCCACCTCCATTTATCTCTCTGGTTGGTCTTCTTTTTCCAGTTGGTGACACACCAAGTATTTGCATGTCTGTCTAGAAATTATCTCTCCATACTCTTCTTGGTCTGCCTCGTGTTCTACAACTATTTATCTCCCTTATGTATAGTTTTCACTTCTCTGTAATCTGACATTCATTCAATGTGCCCCAATGTTTTCTGTACGGAATTAAATTTTATAAAATGAGTATATAACTTATTTCAAACCAGAGGAATGTTTACTGATTTATTATTCTACTTAAAACATATTGCTTCATTCCTAATATTAGCTGTTACTTCTTTTTAAGTTTGATGAATATGAAGGAACAACACCGTACACATGCTTGTGCCGTGCTTTCTATCAGAAAGATGGAACAGATGTTCAAGCCGATAGTTCACCAGCTACCATTTATTTGGCATGTAAGTTTTTGAAAATGAATTCATTTAATACACAGCATCTTTTCTCCAGGCAATGCTGGCCTAGTGGGTAATGAATAGGCAGACCGATTGGCTAAATCTGCACCACTGGGTAATGAATTGATACATGACAAGGCAGGTGTAGTCAGAGCCATTTGGGAACAAGCAACGGAATCAGTAGAGAAACACAATTATCATGGCCTGGTGAGAATGAGGCACCTGGGTGTAACCAGAGGGTCTGGCTGGTTCACTACACTCAGAGGAAAGGCAAGGCGGACATATAACAAGACTGTGACCGGTACTGTCAGTATTGGAACTCTGCAATGGCTGCTGAAGATGAGGACAGAGAACTTTTGGGAATGCCCCAAGTGCTGTGATGTCTGTTCTTGAATCAGCTCTACTCAACTCTTAATACTAAGCCTAGCCTGCACTGTTGGTTGTAAATGCACTAGAAAGTGGGGCTCTAACTGCTCAGTTTCAAAACTTCCCTGTCCTTCATCATAATCATGTAGCAGGTCCTTTGCACGGTCTCATCACGGTCTGCCTGAAAGAAACTCGGTCTCTTGCCAGCTCTCCCGCCTCATGTACTTTCATACTCAAGAGTCACTTATATCCTGTGCCCATCTTCATCTTGGTCAGCCCCACGGATATCTGCCCTAGATATGCAGGAGTGTGGGGGGAATAAAAGAGCAGATTTTCTAGCCACAACAGTAATAACTATGGGAACACTTGTAATGGACAAGAGAGACATGATGAAGATCATATATGATTAAATGTTGATAGACGACACAAAGTTAGATGCAATAACACGTATAAGAATGTTTGCACGAAGAATCAGGAGTGGATCTGGCAAGAACATGCATATGCCAGAATGAAAATGATGTGTATAATTGGTGTGCTATGAAAGTTCTTAGCATCTGCACATTAAGACATTTGCTGTGGGAGATGGAGCATCCATGGGTATGTCCAGTAGGCTTTGATATGTCGATTCTTAAACCAGTAATCAGTAAAACCAAGAACAAGATAGAAAGACGATATCAGAGAAAATCTGCAACAGCACGATATGTCTCTGATCCAGGTGGCCAGAAGAGCAAGAAGCAGAACTTATATCTCCCTCGACCCCTCGACACCAGAAGCTTTAAAAGATAAAGTGAAGAAAAGAAGAAGAAGAAGAAGAAGAAGAAGAAGAAGAAGAAGAAGAAGAAGCAGCAGCAGCAGCAGGAGGAGGAGGAGCAGGAGCAGGAGCAGCAGGAGGAGGAGGAGCAGGAGGAGGAGCAGGAGCAGCAGGAGCAGGAGGAGCAGGAGGAGGAGGAGCAGGACAGATACTAAGCAAATATGAATCTATTGACCTCTAACCCATCCTATTACTCTAGGTCACTTCCCAGTATTTGTGTCTCCAATACTCAGCTAGGGTGCAAGCTGGCCACCTTTGTATTCCACACAGATGGATTTCTTGACAGCCAGTTGATTTCATCCACAAAGCTAACATATTTATGCAGTTTAACAACAACAACAAAATTTCTGTCCTAAAGGGGTTTGGCATCAGAGGCCCAAGGAGTATTAAAGAAAGACAAAAAATCGGTACACCTTGCGGTAATTGTTGGCGTCTGTAGCTTAGGCATTGTGAACGCGCTTTGTAATTCCTGGGTGCTGGTTCAATCCCAGCAGATCATCTTGCATTGGTTTCAACAGTGCTACCGAGAGCTGACCATTAAGAAAGCAATGGCAAATTACTGAACATAAAATTTGCCTAGTAAAACCAGCAACAGCCACACAACAACAATAAAATGCTGGGGTTGGTTCTGCAAATACCTGTAAAAGATAGGCAACTAACAAAATTGTGTTAACTGGGCTTCTAGGTAAGAGCCTATGAACGTATGATGGGTTCCTTGGGGCTGAAAGAATTAGTTTAGCTTGATTATTCTTCACGTTTGTTTATGCTCACGAAGGCTGGCTTCAATTTCTATTTGGTCTTTGATGACTGTTTTATTAGGATCACTTCTTTCAGTACCAAACAAGTGTTGCTGTAACTCTTTCTTTGGGTGTGTGTGTGTGTGTGCATGTGCACACACTTGCACACAAGCACTGTCATACATTACAAGATGCATGTGCACACACTTGCACACAAGCACTGTCATACATTACAAGATGCATGTGCACACACTTGCACACAAGCACTGTCATACATTACAAGATGCACGTGCACACACTTGCACACAAGCACTATCAGACATTACAAGATGCATGTGCACACACTTGCACACAAGCACTGTCATACATTACAAGATGCATGTGCACACACTTGCACACAAGCACTGTCATACATTACAAGTTGCATGTGCACACACTTGCACACAAGCACTGTCATACATTACAAGATGCATGTGCACACACTTGCACACAAGCACTGGCATACATTACAAGATGCATGTGCACACACTAGCACACAAGCACTGTCAGACATTACAAGATGCATGTGCACACACTTGCACACAAGCACTGTCATACATTACAAGATGCATGTGCACACACTTGCACACAAGCACTGTCATACATTACAAGATGCATGTGCACACACTTGCACACAAGCACTGTCATACATTACAAGATGCATGTGCACACACTTGCACACAAGCACTGTCATACATTACAAGATGCATGTGCACACACTTGCACACAAGCACTGTCATACATTACAAGATGCACGTGCACACACTTGCACACAAGCACTGTCAGACATTACAAGATGCATGTGCACACACTTGCACACAAGCACTGTCATACATTACAAGATGCATGTTTTTTCAACCATCATCCGCCTCCCAGCAAACATTCTTTGACATGTGATATAATTTATTCAGTTACACCATGTGCGTTTTTGTACTCACCTTTACATTTTTCTTCTTTAAAAATAAATTACTTGCTTCTATTATTTCTCTAATTTTCTTTCTTTTGTTCGGGGGACAGATATAGGAGAGGAATTTGCTGTTGAGCCATCAGAAACAGAAGTGACCAACTTGGGGCGGCTAGAACTTCCATGCCAGCCCCCTGAAGCTGTACCAGAGCCTGAGGTACATTATGAATCAATTAAAGTTCAGCACATCTGTGATGCTACATTATGTTTGGAAGTTTAATGCATCTGTGATGTTACATTATGTTTTGAAGTTTGATGTATCTGTGTTGTTATGTTTTGAAGTTGAATGCATATGTGATATTATGTTTTAAAGTTTAAGGCATTTGTGATATTATTTTTTGAAGTTGAATGCATTTATAATATTATGTTTTTGAAGTTTAATGCATCTTTGATGTTATGTTTTGCAGTTTAGTGCATCTATGATGTTATGTTTTGTTTTAAAGTTTAATGCATCAGTGATACAATTTGAGGTTTCATGAATCTGTGATGTTATGTTTTGAAGTTTAGTACATCTTTGATGTTACATTTTGAAGTTAATGCACCTGTGATGTTATGTTTTGTTTTGAGGCTTCAAAGTGATGGCTTTACAGAGGAACAATCAGAATTCCTGGGATAGACAAAATGAATAATTTGAATGGTTTGAAAGAGGCTAGGGCTGAAATACAACTTACCATAAATATCTGAAAGAGGCAGTCATAATTTTTTTTAAGACAACTAATGAGAAGGAAGAAACCGGAACATTTTAGGACAACTGGAAAGATTTGTGAAAAAGGGGAATAGAGGAGGACAATGTGAAAAGTTTACTGTCTTTTTTTTATATTTTTTTTATGGAGGGGTATCAGCACATGAACTGATACATGCTGTTAAAGATTGCAAGTGGTGAAGAGGCAAGATCACCTTTACCAGTCTCTGCCCACATACTTGCAAAACTCAAGTTTTGGAACAAGACCAAAGTGCTGTAGTGGATGAACAACCAAAACATTCTGCCAGAGAAGAAGAAGAAGGAGGAGGCTGCTGCTGCTGCTACTGCTGTTTCCATTTCATGTACGCCATTTTTTAAATTGTTATATTCTTTTTTCTTTTTAAAGATTTCATGGCTGAAGGGGGGTCAGCAGGTTGTTGAGGATGACAGAATAACAATTGAAGACAGCGGTACCCTGGTGATTGAAGAATTCAGTGTGGACGATGAAGGCTACTATTCTTGTGTGGCTAATAATTCTTTCGACACCAAAACCAGCAGGGAGGCTTTTGTTTCTCTTGCTGGTAAGCTTTTTAAAAAATAATTAATTTGTCTAGGGGGTTTTGAGCTGAAATGCTATAGAAAGGTTCCCAGAATACCATGGACAAAGAAGAGAAGAAATACTGACATTTTAAAAGTCCTGAACATCAAGGAAGATTGGCTGATAAACAGCATCTTGTCTCACAACTGAAATATTTTGGTCATATCTAGTTCATGGCGATTTTGAAAAAATAATAGCACAAGTCATTGTACAAGGAAGGAGGGGCAGGATATAAGTGACTTCTTGAGTTTGAAAGTACATGAGGCAGGAGACTTGGTGAGAGACCGCGTTTCTTTCAGGCAGACCGTGATGAGAGCAACATTCTGCAAAGGACCTGCTACATGATGATGATGATGATGTTTTACGTTGTTATATTGTTTTAATAAATGGGACATTTTTTTTAAACAGCAGATACTATGACAGACAGCAAGCAATGTGACAAACAGCATGCAATATGACATGTTTGCACATTTCCATCTTTCCAGACCATAGTGTTATATTGTGCTGTGAGGAGGCATGAGACTATGTCTTGGGCCAGAAAATCATGGCTGATGAGCCACATGCAGCTCTTTAGCGATCTGAATGTGGCTCGGCCAGTCGGCCACAAATTGGTTTTGACTCTGAAAAGCATGGTTTTTGACAGGTTCTTAAAAAGAAATTTAGCTCTAAAAAAATGGATATCTACCTGTTGCTGATTTTTGGCTCTTTCGACTAAAGAGTTGTGGTCGAATATGACTAGCAAGACCTGAAAAGGTTAAGAAAAGTCTTCCACAATTTGAGCCTGCGATTTCAGGACCAATGTTGCCAAAGCATGTATTTAGTCTGCTGCTTCTCAGATGCTCAGCTCTCATTCTTTCCTTTATGTCAGTGTTTCTCAAACTTTTGTTAGTCGCAGCACCTTTTTTCAATTAAATATGACAAACATATGCTATGACAAACTGCCCATACCATGACACACAGCGCATAATATGACAAAACAGTTTTTAATAAAACTTATTGCCTATCTTGATGAGAGCCGCCCATTTGAATTGTTGTCTTCATTGTACAAAGCACCCTTCGAATTTTTCTTCTTGTGTGTTTTTTTACCCAGTAGTCTTTTCTTTGAAAGTTTCCGTAATTATTGTCTCTTTTCTTATTTCATTAGGTTAATGTTCTTTTATCGTCTCAAAAAGCAACACACAGTAAACCAGCAATTGTATAACATAATAGAAATTGTTTTAATAGTCATTATACATTATTCATCCTATTCATAACCCAGAAGGTGTGGTTAGGATAATTTTCAAATGTTCATCATCATCGTCATGTAGCAGGTCCTTTGCAGAACGTCGCTCTCATCATGGCCTGCCTGAAAGAAACTTGGTCTTTTGCCAGCTCTCCCACCCCATGTACTTTCCCAAGGAGTCACTTATATCATGTGCCCATCTTCAAGTTGGTCAGCCCCTGCCTCTCCTTCCTGGTACTTCTGCTTTTTTTCCCAATCCGTCGTGGCGCTTGATATGACCAAAATATTTCAGCTTCCAAGACAGGATGCTGTTTATTAGCCAATCTTCCTTGATGTTCAGATCTTTCAATATGTCAGTATTTCTCCTCTTCTTTGTCCAAGATATTCTGAAAATCTTCCTATAGCATTTCAGCTCAAAAGCTCCTGTTCTCTTTATTAATGACTGGGAGATAGTTCACGACTCACATCCATATGTAGTTTCAAATGTTAGCAATATAAATAATATACATAACAGAAAGAAATGATCTTTGCATATAAAATAGAAAGAGCATGCATTGGAAATATGGTTAACACTATACATCCCAATCATAAGCCAGACTGTTACATGATTTTATTTCCATGAAGGCTAATACTTCAAGCCCAAGTTACACCACATGTCAGTTTAAAAAAGTGTTTCCATATTTTGTTTTACAATATTGTTATATTTTTTTGTAATCTTTTCCTGCAGTAACTGGTGGTCCCATCGATGAGGTCACTCAGCCGTACGACAGACATGGTTTCAAGACAGATGCACCTGAACCAGAGCCAGAAACATCTTCTTCTGAACCAGGAAACCAGCAGTCTGATGTCAGGTACATTTCCAAGGTAAGGCTGCAGTCAGCAACAAATAATGATAAAGAATGTTGTGAGAAGCTGAGAATTATTTTTTTTTCTTAAGATAGTGTGTTGTGTGTTGAGTGTTGTGTGTTGAGTGTGGAGCTAAGAGTTGACATCCCAGTACTCAAGACATTCCCATAAGTGCTCCATCCTTAACAGCCAGCAAAGAGTTCCAATTCCAAGGGTGCCAGTGGCAGTTTGATTATATGTCCTTCTTGCTTTTCCTCAGAGTGTAAAGTATCAACCAGATTCCCTGGCCACACCTAGCTTTACCATTCTCTCCAGACCAAAATGATTGATTCGTGCCTCTGCATTGTTCACTTGTTCCCAAAGGGTCTTGACTACATCTAGCTTGTCACTCATAAATTCAACACTTTTTGGTGCAGAACCAGCCAGTCTGTCTGCCTGTTCATTTCCTAATACTCCTTTACAAACTATAAACAATGTAGGTTATGTACATAAATTTTTTAATCTGTCCTTGTTGTTGTCATAATTCTCCTATAGAACATTATCTCTGCTGTTTCGGTATGATTTCTTCCTATTCTCCTGAGTGTTCATGATTCATATCCATACAACAGGATTGGCTTTATGTTGTACTAAATTGTATATATTTATACGTACTTGTATTTGTGTGAAGCATTTTGCTGTTGTTGGTCATACCATATATGTTTAAAAAAACTTAGATATAATACTTGGAGTTACAAAACAGAAATGGAAGGCCAGTCATAGAAATGAACTGAGATGGGTGAAATCTACATCAACAAACCTCAGGGACTGAGAATGCTCAGTAAGAAAATGAAAAAGAAGATGTTCTTACATACATATACATCTGTTTTTATGGATGTATGTCATATCATTTTTGTGTTTGTATTTAGTATTCATATTATATATATTTATGAAATTATTGAGTAACACATAAAATACAACTGCACTGTGAAAGATCAGTGAGTGTTTGAAGGACTGAATGTAAGATTTGATGCATGCCCAATTTGTGAACCTTTAAAGATTACCCAAACAGTGTAAAGGGAATAGAAAATTTAATATTGTCCGTCCAAAAGCACAGTGAAGATCAAAATCTGTTCTTGAATTTAAAGAAAACGAAAATAATGTCCACAGATAAAACTGGCTGTCACCCAAAAATAACAATAAATGATGAAGAAATTGAAAATGTCACAAACTTTGATCTAGGCTCTATAATAAACAACAATGGAGACTGTTCGACAGAAATTAAAAGGAGGATGGCCATAGCAATGCAAAGATTGAACAGCCTTAAAAGTCTATGGTTAAGCACCAGCAAGGAGATAAAAATTAGAATTTTGAGAGCATGCATCTTCCCTGTGGCTACATACGGATGTGAGTCGTGGACTATCTCTCAGTCCTTAAGAAAGAGAATAGGGGCTTTTGAGCTGAAATGCTATAGAAAGATTCTCAGAATATCTTGGACGAAGAAGATGAGAAATATTGACATCTGAAAAGATCTGAACATCAAGGAAGATTGGCTAATAAACAGCATCCTTTCTCGAAAGCTGAAATATTTTGGTCATATTAAGCGCCACGAGAGATTGGAAAAAATTATAGCAGAAGGCACAGTACCAGGAAAGAGGGGCAGGGGCCGACCGACACGAAGATGGGCACAGGACATAAGTCTCTCCTTGAGTGTGAAAGTTCATGAGGTGGGAGAACTGGCAAGAGACCGAGTTTCTTACAGGTGGACTGTGATGAGAGCAACGTTCTGCAAAGGACCTGCTACATGATGATGAAAGATAACCCTCGTTCTCATTCTCCCCTCAGTTGTCAAAGATACATTGCATATAATTTTCATTGTTCATTGTGTTTCTCACCTGAGTTGACTAATAACCAAACTTAATTGATGTGAATAAATCATCATTATTCAAGTAGAAAAAAACACACTCTATATCCCAATTCTAACCCAGATTGGTTGAGCAAAATATTGTTTTTTTAAAGTATTACTACTAGCTGAGTTAATAAAGATACACTGCATGTCATAAGATACACTGCATGTCATAAGATACACTGCATGTCATAAGATACACTACATGCCATAAGATACACTGCATGTCATAAGATACACTGCATGTCATAAGATACACTACATGTCATAAGATACACTGCATGTCATAAGATACACTGCATGTCATTTTCTTTATCTAGGATCTTCACAGTGTTTACTACCTGGTCAAAAATCAGCCAGTGACTCTGACCTGTGAGGCCTACAATGTAGACTTTATTGAATTCTACTGTGGAAATGAGAAACAAGATGATCAAGATGTGGCTGAAAGAGAAGAAGAATTGTCATCTCCTGATGGCTCAGTAAACCTGGTGAAAGTTGTTCAAGCCACGATCAGCGTGACAAAAGAAGATGTGGAAGAGTTTGGAGCAGGTCAAGAATACTGGTGTCAGTGTGCAGGCAATTATCGTGTTCCTGGCATAGAGCAATATCAGAAGATACTTAGCGTGAAAGGGATTGTGGAAGTTGCACGTAAGTACAAGTAAAATATGAGTTTTCACATAAATTGATCATGAAACAGTTTGTGATCTTCTTGTATTCTTCTTTTTCTTCTTAAAGTCCATGCTTTGTGGCATTGCTAGTCATGTCTATCCACAATCTCCTGTCTCTGTACTCTCAATCAACTCTGATACAGATGCGATAATGTCAAACTGTTCATCATCATTTCTCTTGGTCTCCCTCTGCCTCTCCTCCCCTCCAACTTTCCTACTGATATGATGTATTTGTTTTCTCCTTCTCATCACATGACCACAGAATGTAGATTGTTTCTTTCTGATATGGACAATCAGTTCTCTTCATGATTCAGTTTCTTTCAAGATATCTTCATTACTCTTTTTATTCATGGGTCAGTTTCTTTCAAGATATCTTCATTACTCTTTTTATCTGTTCAATGTATTCTCATCTGAAGGACTGCTTCTTGTATTAGTTGTTAGTATTCATCCTCATCATTCTTCTTTTATGCTATAGCTCTGTGGCTTAGAGGTTAGTAAACTGTTCAACAGTTTCCTGATCTTTGAGTATTAGGCTTCATTTTCCACAGTGGACAGTATTTGTGGTATGAGTTTCACACCATGGAAGAGCCTGGGTCTTCATGGCATGTATACCAAAACACAATAGTAGTGCAGTGTAGTCGACCTTCTTTGTGGAGATGGCACAGTCATTAACACATCACATAGGACTTGCTGGTCAATTCCTACATTCCGTTCTATCCTATACAATTCTTTCAGTATTGTACATGTAATCAAATCTGGCCTGTCTGATTAACCTTTATTGTAGGGTTGCTTTGTGACATCCTTGCTTCCTCAATCCATTTATTTCCCATATCAGTGACTGTTTTGTGATTCATGAATATTTATCTGACCTAAAACAAAAGCTCAATTCTTTAGTCTTATAGATTACTTTTACCTTTTTATATTATACGAATGTTTATTTATCACAAATGTTAAGCCAATTTGTAAAATCACTTAAGATATGGAAAAAAAAGTTAAATGCATTAAAAAAACAAATGTCTGAGGAAAATATTGAAATGGGATAAATTCAAGAGCAATGAAGAAATAAAGAAATGTCTGGGCAACCACTAGCATCAACAGTTATAAGACAGAGAAGATGGCATCACATTGGACACCTTTTGAGAAGAAATGAACAGAAAATCACCAAACTATCACTGAAATGGGAAATAGAGAGATTGTGGAAAGGATACCCAAGAGAAACCCTTAGGTGAATGTTGATAGAGAAACCAAAGATACTGGACTGAATTCTATTCATGGTGTTGAAGTGATTGCTGAGGATAGAATGGAATGGAGAAATAGACTGGGAGCCTTAAGGGACATATAATGACACAACAGGACAATGAATGAAGTTAAAAAAGTAAAGGACCTTTTTCCTACTTTCAGCTCTGTGGGCTTATAGTGCTAGATGTTGAGTATGTAGTCTAAATCAGCACCTAATGGGTGACATGGTCATCATCATGCCGGCCACCTTTATTTCCCAGGACATTTCCTGGAACTAATTTTAGGCTTGGTTAGCTGAAAGCCAAAGTCCGATTTGAACACAAAATCCACCTTGATGAGGATTTAAGTCCTTTATGCCCAGAAGGAAAAATAAAGAATTTTTGCTCATAAATTGAAAGTGTTAAAATTTTCACACTAAACATATTATAAAACTTCAGATCTGAAAAAGAATTTCCAAAAAGAACCTGAAAATCAAACTGTCATGGTGGGAGACTCTTTAACCATTCAGTGCCAGCCTCCAGCAGGAAATCCTCCACCGAAGGTAATACCATTGTTGTGTTTGTTGCCACATGATCTAATATTCCAATTAGAAAAGTGCCTGATGATAACATCATTACTTATTTTGTTTTCATCAAAATGTAATCTAATTGAATAGGCAGGTTTTCCATTTCTAAACCTTTGTGTTAAAAAAATATGAAATATGCATGCACAAAGAAAAGCAACAATCAAATTCATAGTCTGTTGGTATCACCACGGATAACTGGCTCCATGAGAGCTAATAGACTGAAATGTTTGGGGCATATTGAAAGAATGTCAGAAGATAGAGAAGTAAAAACTGTATACACAGGGGAGATAAATGGTTATAGACCACGAGGCAGAACAAGAAGACAATGGAGAGATAATATCCAAACAGTTGGTGTCACCAACTGGAAAGAGAAGGCCAACCAGAAAGATGAATGGCCGCAGGTGATATCTGCAGCAATGAACCTCAAGGGCTCGGAATGCTGAAGAAGAAGAAGATGTTCAATAAAGATTTATAATAGTGATTTCAGTAAATAATTAATAATGTATTTGACAGTGGTCAGTGTCTATGGTTTAGGCATTGCAGACACAATTCATAATGCCGGGGTGCTGGATGCAATCCCAGCTGTAGTCCAGGGGCCTTGCGTTGGCTTCGATAGTGGTGTCAAGAAGCGACTGTCCAGAAAGCAGTGGCAAACTACTGGACGTAAACTTGTCTAGAAAAACCACAAAAGCCAAAAGATGCTGGGGTTGGTTCTGCCATGGCCAGCTCCAGATATAAGGTTGTACAGGAATTTTCGTTATTGTGAGGCTGGCATGGCCGGTCGGTGGTAACAGTTGTTAACAAGAAGATTTATACACAAATTGAACTATAATTTAATTAATTTGCAACATGCGTTATTTAATGAATTATCATTTTGAAGATAACAATTTTCTTATAGCCCACTCATTTATCTTCAGAATAATAATTCATCATGCTAGTGCAAAGTTTATCTTATCTTTTCATCTTGTTCTTGGTCTACCTTGTGCTCTACATCCTTCTATTTTGATACACTGGTGTCATAAAGCCATCTGTCTAATTGGGCAAACCATTTATTTTGAACATGTCCTGAAATACTTTCTTATGATCTCATTCCTGATTTTATCTCTTCTGGATCCTCTTGCAGCCCTTCTCAGACATCTCCATGGTTACTAATTTTCTTTTCTAGATTGTTTTGAATGGCCATATCTGGCCCTGGTGGAATAGCAAAGGAAGGAATATGCTTTGCATGAAATGCTGCTTTGTGCTGATCACAATTGTCTTATGCTGTTTCCAACAACGAAAAATGCAAACATATGTTGTGAAGTCATTTATGCCCTTAACTCAGTCTAAAGTGATACTTGCCCTTCTCCAGGAAGGAGATGAAGCATGTTCTGAGGAGAAAATTTATTTGATTGACACATATGTATTCATTCATAAAACCAGGTGTATTGGACCAAGGATGAAAAGAATGTCGAGGCCCTAAGTATCGCACCCTCTGGTGTACTTATCATTCCTGAGGTGCAGCTAGAGCATGCAGGAGTGTACATTTGCATTGCAGAGAATGATGCTGGGAAACGTATGAGTCAACCAATCAAGGTTGATGTTAAAGGTTAGTTGTAGACATTCTTATTTCTTCTTATATCTTCTTATATTCATGAATGTTAATTGTTGAAGTGGTTAATAATCATCATGACTAACTCTTTCTGATCATTATCCTCCTCCCCCCCCCCTCCTCCTCCTTCTCCTCCATCTCCTTTTCCTTCTCCTGCTTTTCTTCCTCCTCCTCCTCCTCCTCCTTCTCCTCCATCTCCTTTTCCTTCTCCTGCTTTTCTTCCTCCTCCTCTTCCTCCTTCTCCTTCTTCTTCTTCTTCTTTTTTAAAATGGTTATCTGAGAAGACCAGTCATTTCAACCACTACATCATGGTCTGAGGGAGTACAAATCTTCTAATTCCTATTTTGTGCAAATTTATGCTGCGTACTTAATCATCTTTAAACAGAGGTGGGCATTATACCTCCAAGCCGCTCCACCCCTTGGAGACATTTAATTAATTATTGAGACAGAAACAATAAAGGAAGCAAAGGGGTTTTGCTCATTAAACAAAACAAAACAAAAATGACTGATAAGTGAATGGTATAGGGAATCCGAAATACTTATATTGCCTACTTTCAGACAAACTGCAGTTGCCTATTTTCTTTTAGACTGTCTTTAGGTATCTACAGTCAGACCAACTTTAAGTTTATACTTTCAGTCTGACTTTGTATGTCTACATTCAGACCAACTTTAAGTTTATACTTTCAGTCTGACTTTGTATGTCTACATTCAGACCAACTTTAAGTTTATACTTTCAGTCTGACTTTGTATGTCTACATTCAGACCAACTTTAGGTTTATACTTTTAGACTACTTCAGATTTCTACTTTCAGACTGACTTCAAATTTCTACTTTTAGACTACTTCAGATTTCTACTTTCAGACTGACTTCAAATTTCTACTTTTAGACTACTTCAGATTTCTACTTTCAGACTGACTTCAAATTTCTACTTTTAGACGGACTTCAGATTTCTACTTTCAGACTGACTTCAAATTTCTACTTTTAGACTGACTTCAAATTTCTACTTTCAGACAGACTTCAGGTATGCACATTCATGTTGACTTCAGCTTTCTACTTTCCTAATTGCTTTGGTTGCCTACTTTCTTTCATACTGATTCAGCTGCCTACTTTTAGGCTGACTTCGGCTTTCTACTTTTAGACTGATTTCAAGTGCATCAGTTAGGACTGACTTTAGATTAGCACATTTAGACTGACTACACTTGTATACATTCAGTCTGTCTGCACGTATAGACATACAAACTGACTCTTAATTTTGTTTCTCCACTGTGTTTTGCAGGCAAAGGTGGCACACCACCCATAAAAGGAGGTAAGAATTTTCAAACGCATAATTTTGCTTTGTGCTCTTCAACTGACAAACTCTTTGAAATAATTTTTACTTTGTGCTTATTATATATGTTATAAACACAAATATTATATTTTTAATCATTAAAGCCTATTATGTTAGGAGCAAAAGTTGTTAACTTTTTACTTTTTGCAGTTAAATTTCATGACCGAGATTTAAGCACTTCATGTGAATTTACCTAAAGATTTAATGTGTGCATTTTTGTTTAATAGTTCAGATTAAATTTTTTTTATAAATTATATTTTGTTTAAACAAATATAAACATTTTCCAATAAGCTTCTTTGTATTTTTTTTTTTTTAATATTCCACCACCTTCTCACTTTTCCACTACCTATAATACAAAATTATTTTTGTTCAAACATGTAGATTGTGCTGTAGATGTATTTAAAAAAATAAAAATATTATTTCAAATGATTTAGCATTTTCTTTTTGCCAAGAAATAACTATCGAAGACAGTAAATTTACCCCACTGCATAAAAGAGTAGTTAATCTCTGTTAAATGAGTTGTGCATGGAATGTAAACATATACATTACTGAGTGGATTGATAGGTTAGAAATCTTCATAGTTTTGATCTGTGCAGAGTATGCTTAGATAGCAGAGTGGTGTTGGTTTCATGACGTGATCTGTTAATTCTGTTATCTGAAAGAATTAATGATCTCTCTAAATCTAATAATTATGACAACGTGACCCATTGAGTGCCATTTGACCTATAAACATTGGTAATGCACTACCTGCCTGGTGTACCTATGGCATGAAAAAGTTTCTTTATTTTAATTTTACTAAGTCTACACACTATTTGTATTTTTTTTTTTTTTTTTTTTTTTTTTTTTTTGCAATAACTGGAACTAAAATAATTGAAAAGAAGTGAAAGAGATCATTAGAGAGCTAAAAAATGATATTACACAATACATCACAAGAACAAAATGTCATTTTGGAGGAATCACTTTAATAAAATTAATGTAAATTATATTCACAAAACCACACTAATTGCAAAAGCCATTAAAATAGTTATCATATTACACATTGGTAATTTTTCAGTGATAATGAAAGTGTTAGCTTTATATATTTTAATGTTTAAAAGAAATACGGCCTATTAATTTCTAATTTTATAATAAAGAAATTGCAAAAGCCTTATTTAAAATTTATAGTGCAAACAACTGAATAATTCTGTTGCATATTTATTGTATTCTATACTGTTGTCATTCTGCATTATTTGGCATATTCTGTGTATGGTGTTGCCTATATAAAACTATACTGAAAGTATACATATACTGTACTCTCTAAAGCTAGCTTTCTGTGGGAACTGTTACTTTATACAGTATTACTTGTGTACATTATCTATTCTGTTGCAGTAAATGTATAAGCTGAGCAATATTAAATAACGAAAGAATCATTTATAAGCATATATATAAAGGATTATTGAAAAGAAAAACATTTTATGAATTCTAGTTATAACCCAGACGGACTGAACAAGATATTGTTGTTTAAATGACTACTGTCATTACTTAATACATAGGTAGAAACTGTTAAAACGCCATTCATAACCTGTATTGTTTCTGTACATGTAAGATATGGACAATAAGCAGACAAGCTAAAAAAAACAACAAAAGATGTTTCTGAGAATAATGCAAAGACAATCATGGAATGATAGAACAACAAGCATGGCAGCTCACCTCGAGACAGATTAGAGAAGTTAGACATAGACATTGATGTTTTTCAGATATGTTATCAGAAAGAATGAACTCAAGAGCTTGGTAATGACCAACAAGCATCATGGAAAGAGCAAGGGGCAGGCAAAGAGATAAATACCTGGTTAGCTTAGATAGTGGTGTGTGGGGGGGGGGGTGAGATAAGAACACTGATCTGATCCTTGATTATGGTGATTGTGTTAGATGGTGAAACATGACAGCCTACACTTATTGGCATTGCACATGATGATGATGATGATGATGAGAAATTATTATGAAAAATATTAGCGTTTGAAGTACATTTATAAGTTGGGCCATTAAATATTTACCACGTTTTACACTTTCTATCACAGGGAGTTATTACTGTAATTCTTTCTAACCTTAGGTATTATACTTGAAAGTAAGAATATATGGTCAGGTGAAGTTAAAAAAATAATACTGTGGGATAAAATAAACTAACATTTGAAATCATCATCATGTAGCAGGTCCTTCACAGAATGTTACTCCCATCGCAACCCGCCTAAAGATTAAAATTTGGTCCTTGCGAGTTCTCCTGGTCAAGGTGTTTATGTCATCATCATCATAAACCATTGCTGCTGGTTAAGTGCTGTGGGAAGGGATAGTTTGTGATCCAGTGGACGCTGGCTGCCACCGGCTATTGTCATGCCATGAAGACATTTATGTCCTGTACTATTTCTTTCCTGGAACCATGCCCACTGTCAGCATTACATTTTAGATACACTGTGTTAAAGAAACAACTTGCTGGAACTTAAGGAAGCAAGGCAAATGTAATAGCTTTGAAGTAACCTGTAAACATATGGTACAATGCTTGTTATAAATTGAAGTTATCTTCTGCATGTTAACTTTGATTAAATTGCAGCGTTAATATTTTATAAAGGGCCAAACTGTATCCCTTAGAAATATTTCTGAATATGAAAATAGCACACATGTCATTTATATATATATATATATATATATATATATATATATATATATATATATATATATATATATATATATATATATATTTGTAATTATCATTTTCTGTGCACTATCTTCTTTCATAGTTTGTAGCATTTTATGATCGTATGATATTCCATTCATAATATATTTCGCATTCCTTAGCAAGCTCAGCAATTTTTAGCAACAGCCTCTGTGTGTGTGTGTGTGTGTGTTCGGGTGCGCATACATGTGTGTGTGTGTGCATGTGTGCAAACATTCAAACATATGTGTATGGTCATATTATGTATGGAAATTCAGACAGAACGTAGGAAAAGTCCCCTAGTGGTGAATGGTTTAAACAAAAAAAACTGCTTGTGGTTTTCGGAGAGTTGTGTTACAGAAGAGGTTGGGACCTCACCATGTTAGTTAGTTAGTTAGTCGACAGAGTATCCTCATTGCTCATCGAACCATTCAGTCCATAAGTGCTCGAATCCCCTCTTTAGTAAATCCCGCAGCGTTTAGTGGCTCATGACACCAGTTCTGTGTTGGTTTCTTTTTCTTCTTTGGCTTCCTGCATAGTGCACTTGTTTGGCCACACCCCTTTTAACATGTTGTTATGTTTTTCTTGCAGTCTGGTCATTGTTGCAGATTCGGTCATCACTTGGTTCTCTCAAATGTCTTAATTCCTGTAGAGCAGTCAGAATATCAACATGGTCCAGGGCCTCTCGACCCTCCAAGTAGCTGTACCTGCAAGCTAATTAGCTTGCTCACTTCCTTGCACATCCGAGTGCCCTGACCCAGATATGACACTGATATGTGTCAACCCCACTGCTTTAGAGACTCAAGCCACTGTGTTCGGATCCAGCCCTTCTCTATCTCACATGTAATATGCCCAAAGAAAGCAGTGGTACACTATATCCGACCTTCACTGTGGAGATAGCACAGTTTATTATCATTATTATTTTTGGATGAAGATGTCCGTATTGTGCCCGCCATTTTAATTTCCTAGATAATTTAGTGCTGCCTGGGAGCCTAGCTCAATTTATAGAATTTCCTCACCACAAGGGGGTTTACACACATGACTAACAGGCCAATGAGCAGGTGATCTATCTATTGCTTTACTGACACTACCTGACTTCTTATTATCAGCCTCAAATACTAGCTGTTTATATTTCTTCTTAACTTCCTCTTCTACCATTCTGGGTATCAAGGCTCTGCTTCTTGCTCTTCTAGCCACCTCAGCCATAAAGGCACTGTTTTTCTGCTTCCTAGAATTTTAGCATTGCCATGGTCAAGCGCCATTTGATCAGTCCATTTATTTCTCACTGTATTCTTTGTAGCATAATCAATCCACTGCCAGACTGCTAGACCCGTCAAAGCTTTACCAGTGGCCCATTGGCCAAGACTTTTTCTGGTGATCTGGGATGACTTTTCTAGTTTTCGTAGCAACCCTGTGGCACAGTACCATGCCATACTTCACCAAATCATAGCAGTCCCCTACTTTGACCTGTCTACCACCTCTCATAACATGGACTTGGGGTTGGGCTTCAAGAGGTAGCTCTTTAGACTTGAGAGTTATATAACATGACTGTTGTAATGGCTGCTACATAGAGATAGTACCTGTATATATTTATGCATGTGTGGTTTTTTTTCTCCAAAATTATTTGTTGCGACCTATACCAGCTCTTTTTCACATGAAATATTTGAAGCTGCAGGTGGTGTTTGCTCAAAGGGTGAACAAAGATACCAAGGGGCATGACTGGTATTTAATTTGTCTAATAAGAAATTTTAGCATTAATTTTCATAGACAGAATGTACAAAAATAGGATTAGTTTCATGTGTGTGTTTATTGATATATACATTTATAAATGATAATAGTTTGGCAATGAATGTTTGATCTCATAGTGCATGATACCTGACCCTTTTTACAGAAACAGAAGAAAGTGTAGACGGAGAATCAAATGGAAATTCTGAAACAAGTGTCCATGAATCTGACAGTGATACTGAGTCTAGTAAAGAAAGTGAAGATGTTGCTGGAATCGTAGAATCTAATTCTGAAGAGTCTGAACAAGTCATGGATAAATCAACAGAAAGGCCAGAAGGAGATTCAGATAGAAATATAGAGAAAAATGTTACTGTTGGAAGATCAGAGCAAGATGGAAGGGAAGATGAAACCATTGATGAAAGAGAAAATGAAGATGGAGAAGAAGAAGAAGATATTGGGGGAAACAGAGTTGGGTCAGAATATAAAAATGAAAGCAGTAGCAATCAAGGAGAAAGGACCAAACCTACTCATGATGATTTGGATAGAAATGAGAAAACACAAATTCTGGATGAAGGTTTCAATGTAGATGAATATTATGAAAGGCAAGATGAAATCAGCATGAAGAGTGACGACAAAGGTGGCAGTTTGGAAGGAGATGAAATACCCAAAATGACAAGCCAAGAAGAGAATGGAAGTATAAATGGCATTGAGAGGCGAAAGAGTAAGTTCACAAGTGTTACCATTAGCTTCGCTTACAATTGAATTCTTAGATCACAATAACCAAATGTACCCAACATCATTTAATTCTGAGATCACAATAACCAAATGTACCCAACATTATTTAATTCTTAGATCACAATAACCAAATGTACCCAACATCATTTAATTCTGAGATCACAATAACCAAATGTACCCAACATCATTTAATTCTGAGATCACAATAACCAAATGTACCCAACATCATTTAATTCTGAGATCACAATAACCAAATGTACCCAACATTATTTAATTCTTAGATCACAATAACCAAATGTACCCAACATTGAAATTTCCTTTGTGTGTGTGTGTTTGTTTTACTAAAATTAAATTTTAAAATGACAATCCTCCTGTCAGCGCCTTTGGGCAGCTTATTATGAAATCCACTGTATTATGGCAGATATTTGTGGTCTAAGCATTAAAATTTTATTGCAATAACTATTTCACAGTTGGCTGAAAAGTACCTGCTGCTATTATTTTATCATCAAGAACTTAACAAATTACACTTTTTTTTTAAATGTTAATAATTTAACTAACATGACTGTATAATTTTTAACTGGCAGTGGCTGTTAACTTATTCATGTTTTCATAATCACATTTACTGTTAATAAAAATAATAATTAACAAGTGCCAGGCAGCTTTGCTTTTTTTTAATTTTTAGGCATTTTGGAATTTTGTGTTATTTGGATAGTAGAATTTTCTCATAAGCCTGAAACATGGATTTACATTGCTTATAGTTACTCATTGATGAAACCAACATGAGTTATCTTTTTACACTCAATCATGTTTGCTTGAAAGAACATTTTAAAGAATGTTTATTCATCCTTGTTGACAAAGTAATGTAAAAATATAACTATAACATAATAATATTATTCCAAAAATGTTTATGGATTTAAACATGCATTAACAGCAGTCTATGAAATTTATAGTGTATTATTTGGTAATCACAGTGTTATCTCTATGCTTTTATAAATACTCTTGTCTGTTTTGTTATGAAATATATTTCTTCAATAACTTTGATTTGAAGTGTTAATTTTTTTTGCATGTTCACATGATATGAAGTGTCAACAATATTTGTACATCTTCTTAGTTAATGTTAGTGAGTTTTTTTTTTTTTTTTTTAATAAATACCAGAATTACTCAGCTATTAATGTCAAATATAGTCTGTAAATACCCATACCTTAGGGGGAAAACTACAACTGCTCAAAGCACCAGTAATTAGTATGTTTACATATGGTTGTGAAATGTGGACTTTAACAGCAGAACTCAAAATAGAAGATACAAGCACTGGAAATAAGATCTTTCTGAAAAATTCTTGGTATATCATACAGAGATCACATCATAAATAATGAGGTTCGCCAACTGATTATCCTACTCATTGCCAGTTAGGCACACCTCTTCTAACTACAGTGAAAAGATAAATGAATGCAATGGTACTGACATGTAATAAGAACTAACAGCTCTCAAAAAGGGTACTACAGGGCTTAGTAGAGATAGAAAGAGGCAGACCAAGAAAGACCTGGTTACAGAGCTTGATGGACTGGACAGGCTTTAGGCATGCAACTGTGAAGTCCATTGCATCTGACTATCAAAGGTTAAGGAAGTTGATCAGTCAACAGAAACTGACGACTCAGTGAAATACAGTGTTATGAGATGATAATGTGTGCGGAAAGGGGGGGTAGGGTAGTGTAACTGTATGTCTAAAATATTACCCCTCCAGGATGGCATTTTGTTGTCATACACAGGGTGGTATCAGGCAATGCTGTATTAATTAACATTCCTAAAGGTGCTTATGTCTTTATGTTTTCTATTTGAACATATATTTTTAACCACTAATATGATTATGTGTAGTTTTGTGGACAAGCCAGTTTCTTTGGTTCATAATTTTAGCACTTATAAGTTTTGGTGAAAAAAAATGTTTTTGCTTTCAAATGATTGTTTGTTACTGCTTACACAGTTGTCATTTGATAGTTTTTAAACAGTTAAAAAAGAAAGTTTTGTTAAGTAAACATAAATATAAATGATTTTATCACATCCTAATATAATTTTTTTTTACTTCTAATATAATAGGTATTTGGATACAAACAATTCCACGGATAAATAGTCTTTTATATTATTTTCTAAGAAAAATGCTTTATTCTATTGTGAATATCAGGGTTATTGTTGCTAAATTCAAAACTAAAATATTAAATAGCCAAACATATAAGTTAGAAAAACATATCTGTTATCTGAATATACACAATAGTTATTAAGTCGTCCCCATGTGGGATGCAATGTTTTTGTTTTTTGAAGCCCCACCCTGGCTTCTACCGGGGGCCCTGAATATAGCCGGGCCATAAATATGGCCTAACAGCTGAAAGGGGTTTCTGGGACCTCTCCATGGGTGATCCTCATTCGCATGGTGGCACTTTGTGTCACTGGTTGTTTATCACTTGTATGATGTCTTGGTGGGGTTCAACTACCTAGCTACCTACCTACCTACCTACCTACCTAGCTACCTACCTAGCTACCTACCTACCTACCTACCTACCTACCTACCTACCTACCTACCATCTGTTATCTGAAAGAAAAAAACTCTGTACATCCCAATTAAAACACAAAAGGGTTGAGCATATTATTGGAGCGCTACTATTGCCAGCATCACTACCACCACTACTACTATTATGACTGTGATATGACTACTACTGTTACTGTATATACCAACTAATGTTTAGTTTAGCTACAGTACTGAGTTTCAATTCAATTATGCTTACAACTGATGCAGCCAAAAAAAAATGATGTAATCTTCTTGTTTGTCGCTGTGTGTGTGAGAGTATTTGTGCGTGTGTGTGTTTGTAAGGTAAATATCTGAGCTCAGTAAACTACTTTAAAGTAACATGTTTCCCACTACTAACTCATGAAATGTACAGTTATTATAATATATGCATTAAAATCTGTTTTGAGTTTTTATACTGCAATGTGCCTGCTGTAACCCTGCTACTGATGTATAGTAATCCGATTGTTTGATTGCATAATGCTTCATTTTCACAATAATTGATTCTTCCATCTGCACACATATTTTTCTGCAAGATCCAGCAAAACTTCTCCCTTTCCGTTTCTCAGGTATTGAGGGGAATGAATGTGCCCAAATGCTTTCATCATGTTCAAACCTTTTACCACGAAATGCGAATCATGTAGAATACTGCGAGTGAGTAAAACATTCATTCAGATTATCTTACATTTAATTTTCTATAAGTTATTTGTGACCTCTAATCCCTAATTCAGTTTTTTAGTTTAAAAGGGGCTGTGTGGTCTTGAGGCATGGTGTCCACTTCGAGTGCTAAAGGTTCCAGATTCAAGCCCAGGTAAAGGCTGGGATTTGTTCACATGGACTTGGACTTCTAGTAATTCCCCCTGGTTTTTGGATAGTGAGACTGGAAGTCTGTGCATTGTTGCGCACATAAAAAATCCCTTGGGTTTTGGAAATTGCTGCCCGGGCACAATTTTGAGTTGAAAATCTACCCAAAGTATTTCAGGATCCTCGCCAGTGCTACAGAGCCTGTGCACTGTGCTGAGCTTCTTCGGACTCAGACTTGAGTTAGAAGAAGAACGGAGCACTACCTGTGTGCCATGATGTTGATCCGTTGTTCAAAACCTCAAAACTTTAGTTTAAAAATATAATATGTAGACCTTTTCTGAAACTCTGTTAATGGTAAGGACTGTGTTGAATTCCTTTATTTATACTCATATTTTATCAGTATTTATAATTCCTTCTTTTCTCGCTTCTACTTATTTTCTCTTTTGTCAGTTAGGATTTTAACCAATGATCTTTTACCCTTCCTCTTCTTCTTCTTAGCATTCACCAGTTGTAACTTAAGCATAAAATTAAAGAGTTTTATTTATTCGCTTTGGGACTTTTATTCTAGCACTTAAATTCTGTGAGCACATCCATTCTACAGCTGTGGATTTTTTTGGTGTGTGTGTATGCAGACTGCTAGTTCCTCCCTATCAAAAGAATGCACCCTGACTTTTGAGGAAATAACCCTCATTAGTCCTATTTTATGTCTTGAGCCAGAAGTAGAACAAAGCACTTATGGGTTACTACCTGTGTGCCAAGATGTTGATTCATTGTTCAAATCTTAAATCTCAGCACATCTCAGTGGGTTTTGTTGTTATTATTGTATTTTTTTTGTTGTTTTCTTCCTTGGTTGCAATTTAAACTTCTTCTTTCAGCTCTGGGTCAGTATAAGTTTCTTTTAAATGCAGTTTGCCTATCTGTGAACTTCTTATGTTTATTTTGGCTTTGTTCTTGTATTATCGGTAGTAGCTATGGATGTACTCACTCCTTTTCTTCCCAGACTCAATGTTTTTTCTTTGTGCTTGATTCTGACTGATTTTCCCCTGTGTCGACTTATTGTCAACAGCACTCATTCAATAATAAATCCATGTTCTATTGTCTCTTTAAATAGATCATCTATTTTACTGTTGTCTCTTATTCTTTTCATTATTACTCTTAACATTATTCAGTTTCTGTTTTCATAATTACTTTAAAGACTTTAATTAATCTGTTGGTGGAATACACCTTATTATGTGAAACATATATAATATGACTGGAATAGTCAAAGTACACAACGTTGTTCTAAATCATGGAAACATCAAGTTTAGGTCATTGATTTGGTACCCATCTATTACCTATTTCTGCCATACAGTAGTCACAGACTATTATCTTCCAAATCTGATTGTTTCTTTTTAAATATTCTCTTATTATCATCATCATTACTTACCTTTGTGTTCCTTCTTGAGTATAAAGAAACTAGTATAGATGAATCTCTTTCATGCTAAAATTGTTCCGGTTCTTCCATTTACAGTAAACATTTATATTATAATTTGTTCATATGTCAGTTTTGTATAATTTTTTAAAATATGCATTTACATAATAATATTCCTATTATTTATTTTCAAAAAGATCATCATCATCATGTAGCAGGTCCTTTGCAGAACGTCACTCTCATCACAGTCTGCCTGTAAGAAACTCGGTCTCTTGCCAGTTCTCCCGCCTCATGAACTTTCACACTCAAGGAGTCACTTATATCCTGTGCCCATCTTCATGTCGGTCAGCCCCTGCCCATCCTTCCTGGTACCATGCCTTCTGCTATAATTTTTTCCAATCCCTCGTGGCGCTTGATATGACCAAAATATTTCAGCTTTCGAGAAAGGATGCTGTTTATTAGCCAATCTTCCTTGATGTTCAGATGTTTAAGATGTCAATATTTCTCATCTTCTTTGTCCAAGATATTCTGAGAATCTTTCTATAGCATTTCAGCTCAAAAGTCCCTATTCTCTTTCTTAAGGACTGAGAGATAGTCCACGACTCACATCCGTATGTAGCCACAGGGAAGATGCATGCTCTCAAAATTCTAATTTTTATCTCCTTGCTGGTGCTTAACCATAGACTTTTAAGGCTGTTCAATCTTTGCATTGCTATGGCCATCCTCCTTTTAATTTCTGTCGAACAGTCTCCATTGTTGTTTATTATAGAGCCTAGATATTTAAAGTTTGTGAAATTTTCAATTTCTTCATTATTTATTGTTATTTTTGGATGACAGCCAGTTTTATCTGTGGACATTATTTTCGTTTTCTTTAAATTCAAGAACAGATTTTACAAAAAGATAGGTTGCACAATATGATTATAACAGTTGTTTAAAAAGTACACTTTAAATATATTAAACTCAACAACTGTACCCCTAAAATCTGTTACATTTAATAATATTTATACTTTATCTATGCAAACATAAAATAAGCAAAGTTAATTGGTAAGCATAAATACCCAGTACTGAAATAAAAAATAAAAACATTCTATATGTATCCCAATTATTACCCAGATGGGTTGAACAGGATTTTATAAATTGCTACAACTTATTATTGTATTTATAATTTTGCCTCTTTAGTTTCAATATTTCCTTATTGCTTTTCAATGAGTCTGTTAGTGTATTTCTAATAGCTTTGTTGCCTTTAAGTCTCATTTTAAAATCAATTCAACCTGCTATCTCCATCATGTGTGACATGTATTTCTCAGAGCTGTGCAAGATTACTCTGCATGTGTGGAAAATTATTTCCAAAAATGCACTGGAATAATCAATGAAATTTCTATGAATGCTGTCAAGATGGCTTACATGGACACTCGGGAGAAGTGCACCTTGAGTAAGTTGCTTCTGCTTGTGTTGTGCTGCTGAAACCTCAAATTAACTCTTTCAGCTCCCAGGCAATATATTGTATATTTGGGCAGAGAATATTAAAAAGATCTGGTTTTCCAGGGGATGTTACCACATAGAATTTAGCTTATTTCAAAGTAAAGTACTATACTACCATGCAGAATTTAGCCTAATTCAAAGTAATGTACTATACAACATGACTTAAGCCTATTTCAAAGCACACAAAAAAGTATTTTTTTAAATGTTGTTCAAGTAAATTTTAGAAATCTGGCTTGGCCAAGGGACATTTTTCATATTCGTTAAGTACCAACAAATAAATATAGCTTACCCAAAGGTCCTTTTCACCATGCATTTAACCTATATAAAAGTTATGAATTAGTAATTTTTGATTTGTACATGCTCCTTCACACTGGACTGCAGGTCACATCATAACTGCTTTGTAGTGCCCCAGTAAAACTATACAGCTGAATGGGGTTTCAATTGATTCTCAGCCTTGAGATATTAATTCTGCAGCCTGTAATCCTAGTGGAGAAAGACTATACAAAAAAATTGTAAAATATTGTCACATAGTTTACCCTATCAAAAAGTAATGCACCTGTAATCTATGACATTTCTCCCTCCCCATTCCCTTTGGGTTATCAGCTGTAAGACATTCTGAAAGAGTAAAATTATGGCTGCATTACTAAGAGTGATTGAAGTGACATATAGAGGTGTAAATACATCCTTGGGAAGCTGTTTGTGACAAAAATGTCTGAACTAGCATGGTGATGGAGTGAACGCATGCAAATTGTGCCCCATGTTCTTATTACTTGTTATGCTATAACTGAAAAAACACTCATCTATCTGTTTAATTTCACTGATTTGAATGCATGAGATGTATAACTTTTAAAACTGTTTTTCTTTACAACAAATATATGCTGGCCTTTTGTGACTGTTTTGTGTGTTTGGAATTAATAACTTTATAAATATATATATAACTTTTTAAATTATTACAAGTAATTTACAATCGAGAGCTACAGATGTGCATAGACTATCTCTCTTGCCTACCAGCCCAGTGCTTATAGGTTTGAATCCCCATTAATGTGAATATTTGTTAACTTGACCTGAGCTTCCCTTTCCCACCCAGAGGACAATGGGTACTGTCAGCATGGAGACTCTACAATATGTTGAGGAGAGAGTCAGAGCCTTCATGGGCTTGTCCCGAGTGCTGTGATGTCATAACTTAACTCAGAATGCCAGCTGAACCCAGAATCCCATGTCAACCCAGCCTAGGATATGCACTAGAAAATGTCATGGAAAGCAAAGGCAGTGAATGATATTGACCACAATACCCACTATGTGTCGATTGGTCTATTTAAATGCCAGGGCCTGGCATCATATACCTAGTGCGTCTAATTACATAAAATGAGATTAAAAGATGAGTTATTACAATAAAATGTTTGCACAGTTTATTAAACATATTTAAAAATAATTTGTGTGCCTATAGAAACCAAGTGCCAAAGACTTCAAGAATGTAGAACCATTTCATCAAACTTGCCAGACACTTCTGTGGAGCAAACAGGTCTCTCATTTGAAGAGCTTTGCAGGTTTGTATTCAACATGATTTCTTTTTGTATTTATGCGTCAATCATACTTTAATGCAGTTGTATATATAGATATATATATATATATCTAAGGCCGTGAATATCAGCATCTACATAGCACCACACACCAAGTTTGCTTGCTTCCTCTTCACAACCTGATTCTGAAAGACAGAACAGGACTAGAGAAGGAAAAGAACATGTTATGTTATCACAATGATGTCACTGCACATTGGGCATTCCCATGTGCGCTCAGTCCTCTGATGCAGCAGCCACTCCAAAGTACTTCTACTAATCGTTCCCATGAGAAGCTGGTTATATCAACTCCTTTCTCTGCCTCAAAGACAGCACAGACGTGCTTCACAATACTTTACACCCATGTCACGCAGTCGTGTTGGTGTCAGGGATTCCTCATTATCCACTAGCCCAGTCCGTACAGCGTTGACGATATCTGCTCTCTCCATGCTTCTTCCCACAATCCTTAGTGCGATGCTTGCCAGTTGATCCGCTCACTCATATCCCTTTACGCCTGCATGACCAGGTGTGTAGATCCAGGTGAGGGGGGTTAAGTACGATTTTCGAATGCTTTCTACTCATTCAGAGCACATACCACCTATTGATATCTATCAGCGGCTATTTTTATGGTCAGAAGAAAACACATATTTGTGTGTCTGTTTATATGTGTGTATGTTGCGTGCATGCCATCATGCGTGCATCTTGTGTATATGTGCATGTATGTATATATGTATGTGTAGAGTGTGTGTAATCTGGTAATCTTAGTTTCAGCTTCATAGCAAACGGGTCACCCCATAGTTGCTTCGCACCTGTTTAACAAAAAACACACAAAATGTTTATCACAGTTTAATTGAAATCCGCAGCTAACAGTGTCATTCCATGCACTAAACTCAAAAGCTGGGCAACGAAACTATATCCTTCCAGTCTACAAATAGAGCGAAAATGCAACGGCCACTGTCTGGCAGAAACAAAAAAACGTGCCACGGCTAAAAAAAGTGGCCGTGCCTAGCATCCATTTTGACCAGAAGCATTTTGTGAGGGTTAATAAACGGTCACACCAGCAGTACCCTCACTAATAGTTAGAGAAGGGACTTGGAACATTACATCCACCAGCAGTACCCTCTCTAATAGTTAGAGAAGGGACTTGGAACATTACATCGACCAGCAGTACCCTCACTAATAGTTAAAGAAGGGACTTGGAACATTACATCGACCAGCAGTACCCTCACTAATAGTTAGAGAAGGGACTTGGAACATTACATCCACCAGCAGTACCCTCACTAATAGTTAGAGAAGGGACTTGGAACATTACATCCACCAGCAGTACCCTCACTAATAGTTAGAGAAGGGACTTGGAACATTACATCCACCAGCAGTACCCTCACTAAAAGTTAGAGAAGGGACTTGGAACATTACATCCACCAGCAGTACCCTCACTAATAGTTAGAGAAGGGACTTGGAACATTACATCCACCAGCAGTACCCTCACTAATAGTTAGAGAAGGGACTTGGAACATTACATCCACCAGCAGTACCCTCACTAATAGTTAGAGAAGGGACTTGGAACATTACATCCACCAGCAGTACCCTCACTAATAGTTAGAGAAGGGACTTGGAACATTACATCCACCAGCAAGCGTCGCCCCTACAACGACCTGACTGCCTTCGTTAACAACTGTTCACCCAACAGCCATGCAGTTCTTTGGCACGAAGGAGACACCTTGAACTTGGGTTTCGGACTGTGGACTCCCTACAAGATATGTTATTTTATGCTATTACAATCGATGTCATGGCACATTGGGCATTCCCATGTGTGCTCAGTCCTCTAATGCAGCAGCCACTCCAAAGTACTTCTACTAATTGTTCCTATGAGAAGCTGGTTGCATTGTTTCCTATCTCGGCCTCGAAGACAGCAAAGACGTGCTTCACTATACTTTACTCCCATGTCCCGCAATCGTGTTAGTGTCAGTGATTCCTCATTATCCACTAGACAAGTCCATACAGCGTTGACATTATCTGTGACAATGTGTGGGGTCGGGGGGGGGGGGGGGGGGGGGATTTCTTTTTTTCTAGAGAAAAGATGCTGGTATTCAGTGTGTCTAAAAAAGTTGTCTGTATTTCCCACAAAAACTTTATTACAATAGCGATAAACAAATGATGCCTTTAAAAGGTGATAGTTCTGTGTACAGTTGCATACCCCCAGAAAAAAAGCCCTAAATATATATGTATATATATATATATATATATATATACACATGCATATATGTATATATGTCTGCATTTGCGGCTTAGGCTTTGGGAACGCGCTTCGTAATGTCTGGGTGCCGGATTGGATCCCAGCTGCAGGCATTGCACCTTGCGTTGGTTTCGACAGTGATATCGAAAGCTGACCATCCAGAAAGCAATAGCAAACTACTGAACGTAAAATTTGCCTATAAAAACCACAAAAGCCTAAAAAATGCTGGGGTTGGTTCTGCAGCGTCCTGTAAAGGATCTGCGACTAACAACTAACTATATATATATATATATATATATATATATATATATATATATATATATATATATATATATATATGTATGTATATATATATATGTATATATATGTATACACACACACAACAGCCTAAAAAAATGCTGGGGGTTGGTTCTGCAGCATCCCGTAAAGGATCTGCGACTAACAACTAACTATATATTTATATATATATATATATATATATATATATATATATATATATATATATATATATATATATATATATATATATATATATATATATATATATATATATATATATATATGTATATATATATATGTATATGTATGTATACACACACACACACATATGTTGGGGGTACGATACCCTAATTTTTCTTATTTTGAGGCAAATCGGTAGACTTGATTGAACCAGATGCAGGTGCCATAACTTCTGATCTACTGTGTTCCTTCACATATGATTAAACTTAATGTCTGATCTTTTCTTTGACAGAGAAACAAGCACATTCCTGCAATGTGTTGACCAGAACCTGGCAGACTGCAATGTTACTAAGAATCCCCCCGAAGAAGATGTTAGAGGAAGTCTACAGGATGTTGATGACTGGTTTGACCAGTTTTGTACTGCAGGTAAATATTGCATCATCATCACTATCATTGTGATCATTATCATGCAGTCAGCAGATTCTCTACGTTGCTCTTGTCATGGCATGCCTAAAAGTCTCTCCTTCTCTAGCCAATTCTCCAGCCGTGTCTGTCTGCATTCATAGCCAGTTCTCCAGCCGTGTCTGTCTGCTTTCATAGCCAGTTCTCCAGCCGTGTCTGTCTGCTTTCATAGCCAGTTCTCCAGCCGTGTCTGTCTGCTTTCATAGCCAGTTCTCCAGCCATGTCTGTCTGCTTTCAAGCCAGTTCTCCAGCCGTGTCTGTCTGCTTTCATAGCCAGTTCTCCAGTCATGTCTGTCTGCTTTCATAGCCAGTTCTCCAGCCGTGTCTGTCTGCTTTCATAGCCAGTTCTCCAGCCGTGTCTGTCTGCTTTCATAGCCAGTTAATCTTCAGTTTATTGTGTCTACTTTTGCAGAGGTTTTTTTCCTCTGCCTCATTATCCAGAAACTGTACCCTGATGTTTAACATGGACAGAATTAATACATCAGCTTTTGGGACAGGATGCTGTTTATGAGCCAATTATCCTCTGTGCACAGATCATGCATTATGTCAGCATTTATCTTCTTCTTGATATTCTAAAAACTTTAATATAGCATTTCGGTTCAGAAACTTTAGTTTGATTCTTCTATGACTCAGCAAGAGTCCGTGAATCACGTCCATGAGTTGCCAGTGGAAAGATGCTTGATCTCAAAATTTCTGCTTTAACTGGCCTGCTGGTGTTGTGCCATAAGTTCCTCAGCTGTTTAGAGTCTCTATATTCCTTAAAAAAATTTACGTTATTTCATCAGTAAAATAAATTAAAAGAATCTTTTTGCACCAGCTGAGTTGAGTTGAGTCAAGAATTTACATCACAGCACTCGGAGTATTTCCATGCATGCTTCATCCTCATCTTCCGCAGCCAGCGCAGAGTTCCACTACTGATGGTACCAGTCACAATCTGGTTATATGTCCAGATTATGTAAGCATAATTATTAGTAATTATTAAGCATCTGCTGCAGTGTAGATTTAAACCAAGGGCCTTGGCAGGCTAATGCTCTATCACAGCTCACCTAAGTAGTGTAAGAAACGGTATGCTTTTGGATACTAATGATATTAGAAGGAAAAATCACAGACAAGTAAGTAAAATATAAATAGCAATATAAGTGAGGAAAAAAGTAACATCAAGAGATTGACAGGACCTGCATTCTGTGAGTTTACAACAAAGAGTGAAGGAGAGCCTAGTATATGACACCACACATCCAGCTTAAGAATGGAGGTAGAGGCAGTCCCTGCAGTTTTCGGCTGGCTAGAGAACACAATATATACACACACACATTGTGATTGTAACTGACTCAGATAGCATACTGAGGAAGGTGGGGATATGCATGCTTCATGCAGAGTGGCATGTTTCACTTCAGAGGTCAAGGATGAAGAGCATTGTCTGGATTTTTTCTCAGGGCATGCCGGTGTGTTGGGAAATGACCAGATGGACAGATTGGTTGGGTCTGCACAACTTGGTGGAATACTGATGCATGATAAGGCAGAAGTGGGTAATGCCCTTTGTGAGCACATGTACAATTTGGAACAGCAAATTAATCATCACAGTCTGGTGAGAGTGATGCAGCGAGGAGTGGCAAGGGAATCTGGCTGATGCTCAACACCTGAGAAAAGGCAAGATGGACATATAATCAGACTGCTACTGGCATCACTGGTACTGGAACTCTGCACTGGCTGCTGAAGATGAAGACAGAGCACTTATGGGAAAGCACTGATTGCTGTGGGGTCGATTCTTGAATCAACACAACTCAGCTCAACAACAAAGGGTGAGAAACAGAAAGTGTTAGAGAACCACAGCAGTCAACCCTCATTGCTGAGACAGCACTTGATTGACTGAAGAATAATGCCTCAGAGAACCACAGCAGTCAACTTTCATTGCTGAGACAGCACTTGATTGACTGAAGAATAATGCCTCAGAGAACCACAGCAGTCAGCCTTCATTGCTGAAACAGCACTTGACTGACTGAAGAATAATGCCTCAGAGAACCACAGCAGTCAACCTTCATTGCTGAGACAGCACTTGACTGAAGAATAATGCCTCAGAGAACCACAGCAGTCAACCTTCATTGCTGAGACAGCACTTGACTGAAGAATAATGCCTCAGAGAACCACAGCAGTCAAGCTTCATTGCTGAGACAGCACTTGATTGACTGAAGAATAATGCCTCAGAGAACCACAGCAGTCAACCTTCATTGCTGAGACAGCACTTGACTGACTGAAGAATAATGCCTCAGAGAACCACAGCAGTCAGCCTTCCGTGCTGAGACAGCACTTGACTGACTGAAGAATAATGCCTCAGAGAACCACAGCAGTCAACCTTCATTGCTGAGACAGCACTTGACTGACTGAAGAATAATGCCTCAGCATCAGATTTATCTTCTTGTTCTTTTTTTGCATTCACCAGCTGTAAACTATTTCAGAAAGTTGTAAATGTTCATCCACTTCTAGACTCTGGTCTTGTTCTGAGACTTGACTGTTGGGTGCATATCTATTTTATAGATCTGGTTTATCTGTAGGCAGACTGTTGGTTCCATGCCTCTCAGGCAAATGCATTCCAGCATCAAAGGAAACAACCCCCCACCCCCCCCCCCCCCCCTTTCTCCCCCAAGAAGTTGACTTTTACAATATACTTGTTAGAGTTGTAGTGGGTCTTTTCTTTTTCCCCCCAGATTGGGCCCTAAAACCCACAAGGGGATCTGATTTAGAAGTAAAAGCGCACATTTATTATAGTATGCAGATAAATGTGAATACATTTTTGTTTGTTTCATAAATAGGTTAACTAAATTTGAAAGGATATAACTTTTTCTTCTTTTTCTTCTTCTTCTTCTTCTTCTACATTTGTGGTTAAAAGGGTGGTTGGTGGGCTGTATTGTAGTTTACAGTTATTAAGCTGCAATATTTTACCTTTTGGCCCACCAATCCAATTTAAGCAAACCACTAATTACTGGCCTTTTATGACATTCTTGTAAAAGGGGGACGGGGCATTGGGTCTATACTTTCTCCACCCTAATTGGGCCTGGAAGCAACATGGGGAGAAGGGATATTATTAATTATTAAGAATTTCCTGGAATCGGAAATGCTGGACCAAAAGGCATAGAAATGGCAGATTAGAAACCCCAACACAACAAGCAAGTGCCTTTCCAAGGGCAAACACTGAAGAAGATCAAGAAAAGGAGGAAGGAAAAGAAATTAAAATTTAAAATTAAAAACAAATTAATTCTTTAATTATTTTTTTTAATGCTCACCTTTGTTTCAGTGACTGAGAATAGCAGAGAATTGGAATCCTGTGATGAGGTTGCAAGCTGTAGCCTCCATATTGAACAAGTGGCTGGTGATAATTCCACTTACTGGTGCAGGTAAGCCAGTCACTAACAAGCAGTCTAGAACAGTGGTTTCCAAATAGATCAGATCTGGAATTCCTCTTATTTACAAAGGTCTTCCATGCCCACATACTTTTTAATAGTCATTCTAAAGAATAGCTGAAAGATGGAAAGAATACTTTAGTGAGCTCTTTAACTCCTTAAGAGATTGCCAGGAAAAAACAACCAAACACTACAAACCAACAGTGCTAGAATATGATATACTCATTACTGAAGTAGTTAAAGTAATGAAGCAGTCACCCAAATATAAAGCTCCAGGAGCTGATAGATTACCAACAGAAATAATCCAAGCAGCAGGAGAAAGCAACATTAGATGGCTGCTTAGAGTATTCTATAGAGCATGGGCACAAGAAACTGCTCCCATTGACTGGCAACATGCAATAGTTGCACCATTGTGGAAGAACAAGGAAAGCAAGCCAGAATGCAGTCAATATCGAGGCATCTCTCTTTTAAGTCATGTAGTGAAAATTTATGCTAAGATAATAGAAGCATGGCTGCGACCCGTGATAGAAACACAGTTGACTGAAGAACAGATGGGTCTGAGAAGAAAAAGAAGCTGCACAATGCAATCTTCACACTTACACAGTTTAAAGAAAAGAACATTGAATATGATCAGAACTTATTTGTTGACAGACCAGGAGAAAGCTTTCAACAGGGTGGAGACACAAATTATGGAAAGTAATGCATCAATATGGAGTAAGTGAATACCTCATTGGAGTTTGCAAAAGTCTAAGTAAAGATTGTAGAAGCATAGAATAAATCAGGGAGCATCTAAACCAAACAAAGCAACATCTGGTGTAAGACAGGGATGTGTCTTATCACCACTCCTGTTTATCACCTACATTGACAGTATAAGCAAGGATGCCAAACCCAGGAATGAAAATAATAGTAACATCAACAAATTAATATTTGCTGACGACCAGGCCTTAATTGCAGATACAGCCATGAATTTACATCATCTCACATCCATGTGTGAAGAATATAAATTAAATAATATGAGAATCAACATTGAAAAGACAGAAGTAATGTCAATAAGAAGAAAGAAGTAGAATTTAAATATAGCATTAGAGCATGTGAGTTTTAAAATCTTGGAACAAAATTCACTGAAGATTTTAAATTGGACGAAGAGATTAACATTTGAAGCAGTAAAGCAGGCCAAATATTGGGACAGCTAGCCCGCCTGTTACAGAAAAGGCAATCCCAGTTAGTACAAAGAATCATCTCATATAAAGCATATTCATTCCCACCCTATGCTATCAGTGCCATACATGGTCACTCACAACAAAACATAAATGAAAAAATTAGTAACCATGGAAATGAGGCTTTGAGAAAGGCTGTAGGAGTGACAAGAACTGATAAAATCAGGAATTAGGTCATTCGAGAGAAAGTTGGCTCAGAACAAATTCTAAATTACATACAAAGACAGCAAATTAAATTGTTTGTCCACTTGGAGAGAATGCCTTCAGATGCTATACCATACAAGGCATATACCACAAGAGGTCATGGACGTAGAACAAGAGGTAGACTAAAAACAATCTGGGAAGATAACATCAGAGAAACTCTTTAGCACTACAATGTGTCTGTGGTTGAAGCAGCCAAAAGCGGTAAAACAGGACATCAAGAAAAAGAAGAAGATCCTAGAGAGTTTATTATAATTTATAAATGTTACATTTTCAAAAAAGGTTTGCATTTCTCTTCCTTATCTTCTTTGCATCTACTGGCTATAGATGCTGTTAGAAAATGTGGTTGTTTGTCCACTTAAAGACACAATCAAAACTTGAATTTTCCATGCACATCTGTTTTACAGATCTGTTTATTTTTACGTAGACTGTTAGTTTTTATCCTGTGGATGGGAAGTTGCTAATCAAGATGGTACCATAGCAAAAACTAATTTTAAAAAATATATATATATTTTACTTTTTCCAGGATGCATATAGTTAACTCAATAAAAAAAATTAAATAGTTCTTTAGTTTCTGGTAGTTTCAGAGATGAATAAATCTGCTGGAAATTGAGAACACCATCATTACATGGAATCACATATTTATGTCGATATCATGGATATAGATTTTGATTCAGAAAAAGGAAATAAAATATCATGAAATAATTTATTTACAAAATGGAGAAAAAAATTAATACACAATCAATATATTACAGTTTAATGCCTGGCATGTATTATATACCTTGTCAGGTTCAGACTAGAGTAACAGAATAAAAGAAGATAAAGAGCAAATAAATTCATCCTTTCAACTACATTGCTTGTCTCACAATAAATTGTGCCATCAGTGTGTGTGTGTGTGTTTTTCTTTGATCACATATTAAATGGGGAACATTGCTTTGAAAATATACCTTTGTTTTTCTACCCTCTAGTCTTATCAACTCTCTTCTGAAGTGTACAGCCAGTGATGCTGGATCCTGCAGCCTTGATGAGCAAGATTATAGCAAACTGCGTAATGAAGCCAATGATCTGTATTGCTCAGGTACTAAACATTACATGACCATGGATTGTTACTGTTATTTGTACTTGCATTTGCTAAATAATTCATTGGTCTATTGTGCCATTATTTGATGGAAAAGATTTACGAATTATAAAGAACATGTCTCGCAACACCAAGATCAATATATATATATATATATAAATATCCAGAAACTATGAGTTCTCAACCCTTTGGCTCGGTACTATGGATATCACAACCCTCAGCCTTAATTTCATGATAAATACCGTAAATCTGGGAGAAATGTGGCTTCTCTGCCTACCCCTGGGCGTGAACCCGGACCACATAGAGTTCATCACCACGGTCGTTCGCAAAGTCAGGTTTAGCCAGCTACGCTGGTCGTATGGCTCTGAAACTAGGAACACAACTAAAAGTGATGAAGCCTTATTACAGGTTGGTCAACCCAGCCTGAATGGGTACCAGGAAAGCTCCTGGGAAGTAAAAGTGGCCAATGTGATACTGACCACTTGAGCCGTAGAGTGTCCTATAAACTGCTTTTGAAAACATGGAATTAAAATCAAATGCTCAAATGCCTTTAAAAGTAGAAACAGAGCCTTTTTTGTTTTGTTTTGTTACATTTGTGTGTATGTTTTTGTGTGTGTGTGTGTGTGTGTTAACTTTTCTTAAATAATAATTATAGTCATAAAACAAATAGCCATAATCACAGTATAAATCTACTGACAGAATATAAATAACAGTAAATACTGTAAACATACCGGAAAGAAATCCTTTGAGAGCATGCGTCTTCCCTGTAGCAACAGATGGATGTAAGTCGTAGGCTATTCCATAGTCCTTAAAGAAGAAAATAGGGGCTTTTGAACTAAAATGCTACATAAAATTCTCACAATATCATGAATGAAGAAAAAAAGAAATACTGATGTCCTGAAAGATCTGAACATTGAAGAAAATATCTCAGAAAATGAAATAAATTGGCTGTATCAAGCGTCATGATGAACTGGAACAAATCGTAGCAGAAGACATGGTACAAGGAAGGGGCCAACCAGCATGAAGATGGGCACAGGATATAAGTGACACCTTTGGTAGGAAAGTGGACAAGATGGCCGAGTTTCTCTCAGGTAGTCTGTGATGAGAGTGATGTTCTGCAAAGGACCTGCTGCATGATAATTGTAAGCATGCAAGAGGTAGACATCAATTCAAGATGGAGAACAACATTAGGAGATGGAGAAACAACAGTCTAAAAGAGTGTTCACACAAGACGAGAGATGTAGTCTTTTTGTTTTCATGTGTATTTCCTCTGATTGTGTTTTTTGTTTTTTAAATTAAAATTCATGTTTCCTCATACTACTGTTCTTTGTTAGCCATTAAAAGTGTAGCTGGCCTGTTGTGTTGTGGTTTACAGCTAGGCATCAGTATTTGCACCTTTTAGCCTAATATGTCTAATTTTAAAAAAACCTTAAATAGTCACTTTTTAATGACATTTTTTTAAAGAAAATTAGGCTAGTTTCCCCAACCACCAAGTTGGGCCACAGAACTCACACAGTGGGCATGCTTGTTTCATTCTTAACCTCTCTCTTGTCCATCTTACTGTATTTTCATAAACTTATTTAGTTATGTTTAAATTATTCAGTGAATAAATATGCATCTGTAGCTTAGGGATTATGAATGCAGTTTTAAAATTCAGACACACCAGATCAGTTGCAAAAGATGTAGCAGCAGAATGTGGCAGCAGATCACTTTCTTCTGATTTTTGACAGTGGTGTGAGCTTGATCTGAAAAGAGATGTGAAACTGCTGAATGTAAAATTGGCTAGTAAAACCATATAAACAGCTCACAAATTCTCTGTTGGCTTATGATGTGCCATTGTCATGCTGGGCACATGGTGCTAGACCCCCCAATGTTATAGACCAACTGGCATTTGTTGGGCGATGGAATCACCTTTACACTGGTCATCTTTATTTCCCAGGACATTTTCAGTCACCCTTTTGTTTTAGACTAGATCAACCTGGTGAATCTAGGTCAGTTTTAAAAGACTGCTGTGGTTTTTATTTGATCTCAATATTTTAGGCACCAGGCCTGACAACTCCAGTGGATCAGTCACAGTTATGGGAGACTAAGTTAGGGAACTGAGTATTCTTGAGGCATGGCATCTGCCTTGAGTGATAGAGGTCCCGGGTTCAGGCCCTGGCGAAGGCTTGGATTTTTTTTTTTTATGTGGAGCTTAAGTAATTTCCCCTGGTCTCTGGGTAGTAAGATCAGACGCCTGTGTGTATTGTTACAGATGTAAACAAAAAAAATCCCTTGGCAGTCGGAAATCGAAAAGAGTAGCCTAACAGCATTGCTTCGGAAAATTCCACTCAGCCTAGGAACAGATAGATCCTTATGGTCTGAGGAGAATGGCACGGTGAGGAGTTACAAGGGGATCTGGATGATGCTCAACACTCAGGGGAAAGGCAAGATGGATATACAATCAGACAGTTACTGGTACTATCAGAATTTTAACTATTCGCTTGCTGCTGAAGATGGGGGTGGAGCACTTATGGGGGTGTCCTGAGTGCTGTGATGTTGCTTTTTAATTGAACATTTAACATTTTGAATTTAACTGAATCTCTAAATACCGCAATGTTTATGCAGTAGATATGTATTCTTTATCTCCTTACCCCATAGTTCATTAAACAATGATTCTGTGTTCAATATCAATCAATCAGTCAATTCTCATCACGCCCAGAGGCACATAAGGCAGAGACAAATTGTCACCACTCAATTCAATCCTGAGCCATGCACTCTGTCTCCAGTTTTGTCATTCACATAGCCTTATGTTTAGTCTCAAAGGTTTGCTTCCAAGTGCTTTTGGACATGCCTCTTCCTGGCTGTCCTTTTGGTATCCATTTCATTGCCTGTCTCAGCTGTCTCTCTTTCTTCATTCTAAGGACTTGTCCAGTCCACATCCATCTTCATTTTTTTTATTTCTAAAATTACATCTTCTAAGTTTGTCATCTGTTGTAATCTAGAACTGCTGATTTTATCTTCCCATGTGAACCTCAACAATCTTCTAAGAAGTCTTCCCTCTAAACCTCTGAGCATGCTCTCTATCTTTCTGTCTGTTTTCCAAGTTTCTGCTCCATAGAGGAGAACTGTCCTAATGCATGTTTTGTATATCCTGAGTTTAGTTTTAGTGCTGTAGATGTTTGATCTCAAGACATTCTGAAGTCTGCTGTAAGCAGCATTTTCTTTTGCAATTCTATGCTTGATTTCAACCACTACATTTCCATTCAAGGAGATATTGCTTCCCAGTAAGTGAAGTCAGTTATTGTTTCCGAACCCATATTATCTGTTATTACCTGTTCCATATAGCAGAGATTAACAGCATGTTTTATCTCTCAACAGAGGAGAGTACAAATGAGGTTAACCCAGAACCAGCTGGCGAAACTGAATCAAATGAAGTAAACCCTGAGCCTCCGTCAATCGGTGAACCAACAGATGGTGATAATGTTGATCAAGAAAACGAGAATAAGGAAACTGATGCTGAAGGTAAGGACAGAGTTGATGATGCTCATGATGATGATGGTGATAAAGGCTTTGAGGGACATCCAGATAATGATCAGAAAGATTTTGAAAGTATAGAAGACATTACTGCAACAAAAGAAAGGGCAGAAGAGGAATTCAACAAACATGCCAGTGTTTATGAAGAAGAAGAAGTTACGAACAGCGAGGAATATTTCAATGAAAGAGATGATGTTAATCACCCCAGTAACGTGGACCCATATTCTGACAGGAAGAAAACGAGTATAGCAGTTGAGAAATCAGAAGATGATGATTATGTGTATAAAGATAATGCTCATAAGACATTCACAGAGAATGTTGAAGACCGTATCGACCAAGAAGAAGATGAGGATGAAGAACAAGGAGAAAGACGAGCCTCAGTAGTGGAAGGTGAGAAGGAAATTTCTTCAGCAATTTTATCAGCTTCAGGGATGTAGGGAGCACCATGTAGCTGTGTAAGGTTTAGTTGTCTTTCTCATGGAAGCTATTATTAAGCGCTCCAACAGCCCTCCAAAATCAGTCATAGAATTGAAGAACAAAAATGTAAAAATTGAAGAAAACCAAGCAGGTTGCATTATTTCACAAATTAAAACTAAAGTAATAAACTGGGGGATTTGGTAGTTTCAGCAATCAACATGAGTGTTTTATTAATTTGTTAAGGAAATTTTCTTCTTCTTCTTCTTCTTCTTCCTCTTTGTGTTCACCATCTGTTAACTCTCGCAGAAAGTTCTGGTTGCTTGTCCATTTCTGGACTCTTTAGTCATGTTCCAAAAACTGTGTTGCCTTTTAGGACATGCTTGTAGGGAGGCAGTGGGTCCCTCCCTCCCCCTCCCCTTCTGCAGATCCCAAGTAGGACCCTAGAACCCACATGGGGAGGCTGGCTTAAGATTGGTTAGATATTGTAGCTCAAATTTTATATGGCCATTTTCATGCCCCTCCCCCCCCCCCCCTTTTTTTTTTCCCCCTGATCAATTGATTTCTTCATGAACCATGGTAACACCTAAGCGCTATCATCCTCATCATCATCATCATTATCATCATCATCGTCATCATCATCATCATCCATCCATCCATTAAGTGCTGTCCCAGTAAGCAAAAGCTGTCATTGTTTACCCTCACACATGATCATTGATCAGGTCACTGTTCTTGACTCACTTTATTCATTTAACCAGACCATCTAGGTATGCATATCTTTGCTTTTCCCTTGCCCCCCCCCCCCTTCCCCGCCACCGTAATAAAAAAATTGTCAATCCTTATCAAGTTCTTGAGGCTTCCTTCCCATAATGTGACACAAAACATCAATAGGCTATTTCTGATTTCTCTTACCAGTCTGTAGTCTTGATCTGACTCCAAGAAGATTGGCTTATTTATTAGTCTATTATTCCATGATAATCTTTGCAGTCTTCTAAAAAAAATGACATCTACCTGAAATTGAATAAATTGTGAAATCATGACTTTTCTTAGCATCTTGAAAAAGGTAGTTT